TTTGTCTTTGTAAAGTAATATATATATTCAAAAATTGTATATTGCCATTAATAAGTATGGATAAGCTCTAATTAACCTCTAATCATGGCTACCATCAACTTTAATTATGCCAAGTTGCGATAGCTTTCTATTCTCAGTTATAATCTATATATGGTTATTGGCTATAATTGGTAAATTGTGTGATGGAGCGAAGCTATTACATCATTGATTGCATACACGATATTGGAAATAAATCATTTCAACAAATTTTTGTTCAAATAAGGTTTAATTTGCCCCAAAAATCATTTTTTTTTTATAACTATTATCTTAACTTTGTTCCCTCGAAAAAAAAGAAAATTATTACTCTAACTTAATACTAAATGAACAAAGAGATAAATTGTCATTTTGTTAAAAATATTAAAATTCACTATCTCCGTCTCATTATTACCAACTAAATCCGAAGATTAGTATAATGACTCAAAAAAACAAGATTGGGAAACTATTAAATTTTAGTTACGGTAATTAATTGGTTTCTTAACTTAGTGATAAAAATATCATCTGAAAATAGAAGATATAAATTAAACCTTATTTATACGGTGAATATAATATTTTTAATGTCATGGTTCTTCAATAAATCTTTTTTTTTTCAGTTCTTATAAATTTAAGTTAATTATAACTTCAACAAATAAATAATCTTATAGGTAAAAGAAATGAATAATTATACAAATTAAATATGATAAATGTATAAATTTAATTTTTGTACTGTACATAAAAAATTTATGACACTTTAACTCAGCTCAAGCTTCAACTTTTAAATCACATATATTAAAAAACTTAATTTATAAAATTATTTAATTGAAAACTATAACTTATAAGATTATATTGATTAAATATTCATTAAATTCTTAAAAAATATAAAAATTATTATTTTAAATAGTAATAGTCTACACATTAAATTAATATTTTGTATATATAAATAAAAACACCAAAACAAACTATTGTTAACAATATGGAAGGTATACAGTATTACGAAATTTGTAACTTCAAAAATAGATTAAGTTCTTACCTTTCAAAAAAAAAAAAAATTAAGTCCTTTGCAAAATTTGAGGGGCACTAAAATATATAGGTGAAATTTACACAACTGACCAAATTAAAAAATGCATTTCCCTCACACCCGTCACCCCCACGTTTTCAGCTTGTTTACAGGTAATTTGACAGCTCTTCGTCTGACTCGTCTACGGAAAAAAAAAAAAAAAAAAAAAAAAATCATCTTCTCAAATAAACGGAGCACGGACGTCACCCCCAACGTTTTCAGATGCTTGTTTTCACAGTTGTATTTTGACAGCTCTCTCGTCTGACCGTCTACGGAATAAAAAAAATAAAAAAAATTAAAACAACTCACTCCACTTTTCATGCGAACAGTCGAATCTGGTGGTTTATTGAATTCTCTTCTTTCACCAGAGCAAAAACAACCAAATTAAAGTCCCATTCCTTTTCAAAAAAAAAAAAAAAAAAAAAAACACTCACTTTTCATGCGAAGCGAATCTGATGTTATTAATTTCTTTTTCCAGAGCAACAAACAACCAAATTAAGTCATCTCGTAGTTTTATTAAGCACATTTTCCACTCCCTTCTCCCCTTACTATTCCTCTTACTGTAGCCAAAGGATCCAAATCTATCCGGCGAGGCGAGAGAGAGATTAGAAAAGCTTTTGCACACTGATCTGTGAAGCCTCTCTCTCTCTCTCTCTCTCTCTCGATTATCGCCAATGGCCGATGAACCATCTATTACTCGGTGGTCTTTTCAGGTACCATCTCTTTCTCTGCGTTTGAATTTCTGTTTGGTCAGCGAGAAAAGCTTTGGAACTAATTTTAATTTAGTTTCTCATTTTCATAGAAATTAACCATTCCTTCATTAACTTTGCATCTAACACTAATTACTATGTTTTAGTTAATCTGATCGAAGCTTCCAATAGTTTTTGTATTTTTCTTTACCATCACTAAGTTGATGCATGAGTAATTGTTGGTCTTCGTTTGGTATATTTGATTCGAGGAAATTAAGATTCATGAATGGTTCTGCATGTCGTTAAGCTACTAATGTGTGTTTTTAGGATTTCAAAACATTTTATGATGTCAAGTTTGGAAGAAAGAGGGTTTCAGAAGCGCAAAACGGCCGGTCAGCTGCTGATAAATCAGTGCAAAACGGAATTTCTTCTTCGAGCACTTCATCGAACGGTAATGGTCATGTCAAGAACACATCTGACATGGCCATTTACGAGCAGTACAGAAACCAAGTATTGCATTTCATTGATTCTCTTTGTTTGCATAATGTTGTGGTATTATCAGAGCTTAATTCCGATGCATGTGATTTTTTTTTTTTTTTTTTTTTTTTTTTTTTTTTTTTTTTTTTTTTTTTTTTTTTTTTTTTTATGGTTTATTTTTTCTTTTTTTCTCTTTTTTTTTTTTTTCTTTTACCTATTTGTTTTTTGTTTTGTAATTTTTTTTTTTTTTTAGTACGTGGTGTTTCCAGAATGTTCGGGAGCTCAAAACTTCCACTATCTAACTCGTGAGGGTTCGTTCTTATCTAAACCGCGGATTGATGACAGACCGTAGGTTTTCTATGTTTCAGTTATTGAGATTTGTTGATTAATTTGAATTGCATTTCCCCCAAGTATCATATTTAATTGCAATTTTTTAAATGATGCCTGAAAATTGTATTGTTAATTGGTTTCCTTTCTTTTCTCTTCAATTTTTTTACTAGTCCAAGGAGAAACACACTATTATATGAATAAATGTATAGTCTGATTGAGTGACTTGTGACATCAATTTAAATTTCCTACTAGTGTCTAAAATAGATAGAGAGAGAGGTGTTTTCTGTTGTTTTTGGTTGTTATCATCTGGAATTCTTATTCTTATAAATGCTGATAGTGTTAAACTTCATAATTATGTTAACTTATCAAGACCCCCTTATGTATTTGAAAAGATTTCTGTTAATTGCTTTTTGCTTGAAAAAATATCCTGACTTCTCTTTTTTTACTTTTCCAGGAATTTTTTTTTTTTTTTTTTTTTTTTTTTTTTTTTTTTTTTTTTTTTTTTTTTTTTTGGGTTTCAGAATGGGAGCTCAAACCACTCTAATGGAGTTCTATCTAACGGGATTGATGACAGACCGTATGGTTTCTATGTTTCAGTTATTGAGATTTGTTGATTAATTTTGAATTGCATTTCCCCAGTATCAATTTAATTGCAATTTTTAATGATGCTGAAAATTGTATTGTTAATTGTTTCTTTCTTTTCTCTTTCAATTTTTTACTAGTCAAGGGAGAAACACACTATTATATGAATATGTATAGTCTGATGCAGTGACTGTGACATCAATTTATTCCTACTAGTGTCTAAATAGATAGGGAGAGGTGTTTCTGTTGTTTTTGGTTGTTATCATCTGGAATTCTTATTCTTATAAATGCTGATAGCTGTAAACTTCATAATTAATGTTAACTATCAGACCCCCTTATGTATTGAAAGATCTGTTAATTGCTTTTTGCCTTGAAAAATATCCTGACTTCTCTTTTTTACTTTTCCAGGAAGAAACCTTTGCTTCCGGCTTTTGATTCTGCTGAAACTCGTAATTTAGCAGAGGGATTATGCAGGTAATTGGTAAAGTGAATGGCTTCATTCGTGCTGAAATACTTGATGCAAGTATTATATCAGATACCTGTTAAATCATTGCATTCATATTTAACATTTTAATTAATTGATATCATCTAAAATTCTCTTGTATAGGGATATTGTTCGAGGTAACCCTGACGTCAAGTGGGAAAGCATTAAGGGGTTAGAGAATGCCAAACGTTTACTGAAAGAAGCAGTTGTCATGCCAATAAAATATCCTAAGTATGTCTTGCTCACCCAGATTTGTAAAGAACTTTTTCTTTTTATATGAATAATTTGTTTTGCTAAATATATAATTGCAGCTTTTGGGAGTATAAGAAACATTTAATCATTGTCAATTTGTCATATAGAGTTGCCCAGTTACCCTTCTCTGGGAGCAGCATGTTCGTAGGAGCAATTTCACTATATTTTAATTTCATTTCTTTCTAACTTACGGGCTTTACCTGATGAATTATCATTTATGGGATGAGAATATCTTAATAGAGCAAAGGCTTTAAGCTGGCAAAAAAGGCTCATAGTGTAGGTGGATATGAAAAGTTTGTCACTGTCTTTCTATGCTGCAGTGGGAGGGCAAATGAATCTGCAGATTCCTAAATATAACAGGGAACAGAACTTTCTAATGTTTCATGCTCTTGTCAAGTAGAGGGCAGCTCCATGTGTTTTTTACTGGATAAGATTTTCTTCTTCTCCTTCCCTTTAAGGAAAAAATGGAACTGTGAATGTCTCAGGTACCAGAAAAAGTTACTTGTCTCAAATATTGGATGGCAAGAGCAGAAGCGAGAGTAAGCTCTGCTTTGGATACCGAATGATGATATTCTTGAGACCTTTGGAAATCTTAGGTCTGAGAAGTTTTCTCTGCATCTTGATCTAATATGCACATTAGATGTTGCACCATTGCATGGAAATTTATAGAAATGTCAATATTCTGGCATTCTGCTTAGTTATAAACATTTAAAAAAAATTTTCAAACAGAGATTTGAAATTCATGTCTAACCTTCCCACTTCTAGGTACTTTACAGGTCTACTATCACCATGGAAAGGTATTCTTCTTTTCGGCCCTCCAGGAACAGGAAAGGTATGGAAACTTGTTATATTACAACTTGTGGTGATATTTCTTTTTGTTGTGCTCTGTTCACATTTTGATCCATTTCCTTGATAGAGTTTTTATTCAGTATTTAAGTCATTCCTATGTTCTTTCTTTAATAAAACAAGCCTCACCAAAGCATTTTCTTGAGTTCTCCAGTCTCCCTCCCTCCTCTTCCTCCTCCCCATCTCTCTCTCTCTCTCTCTCTCTCTCTGTCCTTCCATGTTCTGCATTTGTGCGTGTGTGTTTCTTTAATCTTTGATTGGTTACAAAAATCTTATCCACTTCAATTATTTGGCATGAGTCATAATGATTTTTTTTTGTAACAGAACAGCTTTTCCATGAATCCTTTTGTAAGAAAAACGAACACTTAGGGATAGGACTATTTTCATTGCTATGTTTGCCTAGAAAGTTGATATACTGGCCCAGAGGTTAGCATGTGGTTGCCCCTTTTCTAGCCTGGTCACTTGCAGTATTTGAAGAAATTTATTCAATGGCATCCAAAACAATCTAGGGAAAGAGGAAAGTATGTGATTAATATTACATTTACAAAGTTGAATAGGGAAAAAGATGTCAAATCTCATGGCTAGGGCACAGTCACCTACATGAAATGTATGATAGGTTCTCTTTGAAACAATTTTGTCATCCACATGCTCAATTTTTGTCTCTTCCACATTGACAAATGACTCTGGTATTACAAGGTGTTAGTTGTTCCAATTTTAATTAAAGTTGCTGTTTGATGTATAATGCCTTATATCCATTAATGCAAGAAGAAAAGAATTTTGGATCTTTGATATTGTGCTAGTGCTTGAGCTCACTTACTTTCTAGTGATATGAAGATTGCTATTTAACTTACTGTTTTGATGATTTAGACAATGCTTGCAAAGGCAGTTGCTACGGAGTGCAAAACCACATTCTTCAATATCTCAGCATCTTCTGTTGTTAGCAAGTGGCGTGGTATGTCATCAGCTGGCTTCTCCTTTAATATCACATAATCTGTTCTTGCACTCCATCTCTGGTTCCAATAAGATAGGGATAGTATATTCCTCTTTCTTGAGCTTTCAAACTCTTTGTATATAATTAGTTTCAATAACTAATAGGAATGTGCTTTAGGTTTTAGGTTTCTTGGTATCTGATTAAAGATGAACCCTTCACAATTAGTTATAAATAAGCCATCCCTTGACAATTAACCTAGGAAGTGATGCAAGCCAGCTTGCTCCTTGAGACCATGTATCAAACATGAACAGTAAGACCGGATTAACTAAGATATCATCACTCTGAACAAGTTTGAGAGTCACCTAGTTATGGTATGTAGCTCTTCAACAAAGTCGGTAAAACAGCATGCACTTCCATAGTTTTAGAATTGCTGAGAAGAAGCTCTTACTCTTGGTGAATTGGTCACTGGTTAATTGTGAAGGTCGCCAGATTTTAAGTTCAGATATTGTGATGTAAAGGAGGTTAAGCTAAGACACTGAAAGTTGTCTTTGTTTTCAAAAACATTTGGACAACCCCCAACAAACATCAAAATATGGACAGTTATGATGGTACTGGATAGGCTACCATGCTTACCATGGTTTCTTGTACATGGATATCGTTCACGTACGCCCTCAATACAAAAATGAGTGTCCATTATTCCTTCTTTGGATTCCAAAACACATGCCCATTTATATAGAGTGAAAGATTTTTAAAATTAATTTTTGTATCTTACCCTTTATTTATTCTTCATTCTGAAAGATGCATTTATTATGGCATGAAGGACATATACGGGTTATAAAAGGAAGACTAGTATATAAAATATTGGTCAGCATAGCATTTACTTGGTGGAAAACAAAATGCGGTGAAACTGTGGGATTGAAGGGCCAAACTTCTTTGAAAATGCTATATTGGATGATACATTCACTGCAAACCACCTCCCTCCTCCTCTCTCTCTCCTTCTTTTTCTTCACTTGGAAAGGTGATTCCTGCGGTGTATCTAATGCTGAAGTTAATGCTGAAATGCAGGTGATTCAGAGAAGTTAATAAAGGTGTTATTTGAACTTGCTAGGCACCATGCACCATCAACTATATTCATTGATGAAATTGATGCAATTATTAGTCAACGAGGTGAAGGTCGCAGTGAGCATGAAGCAAGTAGGCGTTTGAAAACTGAGCTACTCATACAGGTGATGTTTGTTTCTGGAGCGTGCATTTGAGCGCACACATGATTATTATGGCCTTTGTCTATGTGGTCAATTGAGTTGATGCGAGATAGGGTGCCTTTTCTATTAGAGGATTGTAGTAATCAATTGGACATTGTTTTCATCTTAAAAAATGATTAAAATTTTCTGGATGCTACCTTGTAAATTGCTTACATGAATGTTTATTGGAATTCAATGCAAAACATTCACCTGATTGGTAAATATCCAGTAGATCACTTTTTTAAGAGAATTTTTGTTTCAGTATGTTGGTCACTCTAGCCAAGTAGTAGGAATTACAAAAAAAGAAAAAAAAAAAAAAAGAGGATGAAGATAGCCAATGTTGCGGCTTAAATTATTTTTAGATGGTTGTGTCCTGCTACAGTACCCTTAGCATTTTACTATCATGTAGAGCATATGGTTTTGGAGGTTTTTATCTTAATGGATATTTTAGTTGCAGCATTAGAATATTCTCAGCACTTTAAAATGTCACATTTCATGTTATGAAATTCTGAATGCAAGATTTATGTACAGATATGGAAATGAAATTACTTATATTTCAGTCTATTTTCTCAAAAATTAATTGCTCGGATTAGATTGCAGATGGATGGTTTGACACGGACAGATGAGCTGGTTTTTGTTTTGGCAGCAACAAATATCCCATGGGAATTGGATGCAGCCATGCTTCGGCGTCTGGAGAAGCGAGTATCCTTTGATATTTTCTGCTAAGCTTTACAAAGTTACAAAATGGTTAAGATTCCCCTTCTTTTTGGCTGGACGACCAGCTAATTAAATTCTGTGAGAAAATCATGAGACTGAAGTTCTGTTGGTTTGTTACTCAGAAAGTTCTCCTTTGACTATAAACATTAAGATCCTTGTACCTCTTCCAGAGCCAGAAGCAAGAAGAGCCATGTTCGAGGAACTCCTGCCATCACAGCCTGATGAGGACGAGCTACCTTATGATTTACTAGTAGAAAGCACAGAAGGTTATTCAGGTTCAGATATTCGATTGCTGTGCAAAGAAGCTGCCATGCAGCCACTGAGACGGCTGATGGCACTTCTCGAAAACAGACAGGAAATGGTGCCTGAGGATGGTAAGTGATTTTCAGAATCTCGTATACAAGTTCTTAGTGAAATGAAGGAAAATGCATCTAATACAATTGTGTTCTAGTCCTGCAACTGAAGACGCATAATAAGACGAGGAAAGAAAAAGCAAGTGAGGAGAAAAGAAAAAAACAGAAATCATTAGAAAGTGATTCAATAATCTATAATCGAACTGCATGACACGTTATTGTACCCTTATTTAATTTTAATAGATGGAGAACATTTATTTTTGCATTCGTAATCTCCATCTGCATTTCGTTTATTATAAACTGAAGATTTATCTATTGGCCTGCAGAGTTGCCAAAAGTTGGGCCAATCACACCTGGGGATATAAAGACTGCTTTGGAGAACACCAGGCCTTCGGCTCACCTCCATGCCCAACGTTATGAGAATTTTAATGCTGATTATGGTAGTCAAATACTCCAATGAAGGCACTCAATTTTTATGGCATTGTTAGAAAATGTTCTTAATTATTATTTTTAACCATAATCAGTCTAGAGCAGCATGTGAGAACTTGACGATTATGTTTTGTATTAGCTTTGATTGCTTTGCTCCCCAGGATAGTACTTTAACAGTTTCCTATTTCCTTGGTTTCTTTATAGAGCCGCTGCTGATTGAGGGTGTTTCTTTGGTTTGCTTAGCTCATTGCTGCTATAGACTGGATATTCAAATTCGTTTTGTGGAGTATTTCTTCCTCCTAACATGTTTTTGGATTTCGAATCTGCTTAGTTAATGTGCTTTCAAGTGGAAAACTTTTTCTGCAAGTCCTTTTCAAGTTTTCATTGTTTTTAGTGATTGTGGCTATATAATGTTTAATACCATTGACATTTTGCTACCATTAACTATCCACATTTTATTCCACATTTTGCATTTTAGGCCATTGATCTGCACGGTTTCATATTTTGATTGAAAACGTCGCTTGGGAGTTAAAAACAAAAAGGTTCCCCCCCGTCATCTTGAAGGATAATATCTTGTTTTAGCACGGCCCAAAACTTAATATTGTTTGGAGATATTGTTTGAATTGACATTTTTTTTTTTTTTCAAGATATGAATTGACATAATTTAAATAATGAAAATTTAGACGTCTTATAAAATCTTTTTTCCCTTGATTGTTTTACAAAATATATTACACAAATACATAAATTTATGATGTTTACTATTATCTTAATTTTACTATTTTGAGAAAGTTCACCTCGAACGTAAAATTTTTCAATATAATTGTAATCAATTAATTATTTAAAAATTCCATAATGTGAAATTACATTAATTTTAATCCATGAAATTTCACAATCTATTCAATCCAAAAATTACATAGTATATTCATTAACAATTTATACCTTATTCGTTAAGCTTAATTAATTTTGATAATATTACTTTTAACAATAAATAATTGTATAAAAACTAACAATTTCAAAAATTCAAATAAATTTTTTATACAAACACAAATATTTGAATTTTATACATAAATTTCATAAAATTTTATGAGAATAGATTCTAAGGCTGCGTTCACGTTTGCAAACACTTCTTAGCCAGATATATATACGCAAATAAGCATAGTAAACCAAGACGAACGCAATCACCGACAATAGAACAAAATGCAAGCAAACCATCAACAGATGATTAGAGATGAAAGTTAGAAGCCAATCTACGTTCCAAACATTTTAAGAGAAAGCATAGTAGACAATATTTTTTCCATTTGTGACATGACATCATACTGAAGTATAGCACAAAAACCATTGGAACAGTAAATCTACCAAAATGATCTCTCCAATATTTTAGAAGAATTCTGATCAGTCTACTGAAAACCCTTCATCGGATCAGCTGTTTTTCCTGATCTTGCATCACTCCATGCTTTTGCAATTGTTCGCTTCATTTCCTCATCCCCTTCTTCATACATATTCTTCAAATAATAACCATTAGAAATGTCAGTCGAAGAATCGAATATATGCAAAATATCCATGGAATTGCATTATATGCAAAACTATGCTCAAGTAAAGAAAATAAATCTACCTTCATTAAGTCCATAATTCCAGCCATGGGATCCCGTTCTTTATCCAAATTTGGCTTCAGCTGCAAAGTTAGATGAATGGAATACAATTAGAGCTTTTTTAATACAAAACCATCAAGCTGACGCAGCAATAAATGCACATGTCATTACCTTGTCCTCTTTGAAGTGCAAGTCTAACCAGTTCCCTTTTGAAGCTTTAAACAAAGTGATGATAACCCTGGTAGGCTTAACTACCACTTTACATTTCTCTGGTACAATCTCCTTGTTCAATTTTGGTATGGCACATCGATAATTCTTTCCTTGGACATCATGAAATTTGACATCAAATGACATTGGCTTGAATTCTGTCTCAATCTTTTCCTGCTCGACACCCTCTATAGAGACATAAATCTGCACAAGGAAGAAACGGAGCCAAACAAGATTAGATGCATACAATTCATATGCCGGAAATTCAGAACTTATTCCCAAGATTGTGCTTGTTTAAATAGCATATTCCATGATAAAGATTTATAGAGAGATGATTTATTACCTTGACTTTGTCATTGTCCTGATCCCAGCTGAAAGATCCTAGTGTGACATAAGTCCGTGCAGGTATAGAAGGTACCTTGACTCCAGTTGCAATTGGGGTTGGAATTGGAGTAGGAACCGGTATAGAAGCGGGCTGCTTTGACAACTATGCATGGGAAGCAAAGAGGATTTAGTGATGACAAGCAAAATGGATCCCCAAAAAGTTTTATTGCCCGAGAATCAGTTCAATCATAGACATTTTAATACTAATGAGTTGAAAGAAACACAACTTGCAAACCAATTAACACTTTTCTTCCAATGATTCAAAGAAAATAATAGTATTGATGGATATAAGAAAATCCACCCCTACAAGAGTACTAGTTTACTTTAATTTCATTAATGATCAACTTCCAGGAAACATACTTGTGCCTTTCATTTGCAGTGCCTTTCTTGATAAATGGCCATAAAACTGAAACACCACCATTTGCAGGTCAGTTCCAACGACTCTCTACTTGATTCAATCTTCAAATAAGATTCTTAGACAACCATGCCTCAAGTGACATTAGAATAGCATAGGCCAAACACTAGCCCTATACCTTATTTTATATATATATATATATATATAGGGGGCCCCAAAAAAAAAACCCACACCTAAAGGGCCCCTTATTTACCTTCATTTTTATATATATATATATATATATATATATATATATATATATTCCTTTTTGTTGTTTTTTAGGATTGATAATGCCAAATAGGCAAACTGAGATTACAAACAGAGATGAATATTAGAAACTGCATTTCCACAAGAACATCAGAACATCTAATTATCATAATTACGATCCAAATTCTTATCATGACAATCCAAGTAACTAGTTTAAAAACCGTGAGTTTAGTCAAAATAAATCAGTTAAAATCCATTCCAAACAAAGAACAAAGATACGTCAATTACTAATTAAAAATCATTTGCTAAGCATATGATTCAAGAGAACTAATTTGTAATTAAACAGAAACATCAAGAGAGCGAGGAAAAAAAAAAAAAAAAAAAAAAAAAAAAAGAAATAAAAAAAAAAAAAAAAAAAAAAAAAAGAACACTTACCTTCTCCAAATTGCTTATCTCAGAGGAGATAAGGGAGAGGACTCGAGGCCTCTTGGCTATGCTCTGTAACTGTTTGAGCTCCTCCAAATCCAACGCCAAATCCTCTGCCATTTTCTCCTGTTTTTTCCCCTTTCTTTTTTTCTCTTGGGTGAGGCAGTGAGAATCGCTATATATGGAACAGAAATGAGGTTCTAAGCGGGAATAAAAAGGGAAGTGGAAAATGGTAGAAGTCTAGAACTTCCTCCGACGGTGAGTTAACTGGACAGGATAGGAGGGGCAAATCGGGAATTTAAAAAGAATAAATGAATCTCTAGATTTCTAGGGGTTTCGACAAAGAAGGTTCTAGAGCGTTGATTGACTATACTTGTTTATTCGGTTAATGGTGGATTGGGTCCATAGTTTACAAGCCCATTTGAGACCCAAGAGAAGAAGGAATTGGGCTTTTTACTTTGTTGACCCAAGTTGAGTTGTTAACAAGCTGGGCAAGTCAGAAGGATTTACATGTATAAGTCTACATATACATCACATGAATTCAATATTTTTTTATTTTTTTATTTTGGGTTCAAATGAGGTTTTTGTATCAATTTACTAAGAAAAAAGGAATAAAATAGTACCAATGTGATAATTTTTGGCACTTGATTATTTGTTTAGCGTCATACATCCTAAGTAGTCGAGTCTAATCCAAAACCACGATATTAGTGATATAGAATTCTATTTCATGAATACTAAATTTCAGGATTCAATTAACCTTGTGTTAATTCTTAAAATTGGTTAAAAAATGCTGACCTGAATAAGCAAAAGCTACGTTTATCAAAAGAAATAAACAAATCTAAATTCAGTTCACCACATTAACGAATTGCCCAAGTCTAATTCGAAGTCCAAAGGCAAAAACTACTCTAATTGGAAAGTTACTTGACTACACTATTATTTCCTTTGAACAGGGAAAATTTCTTCTTCTCCTGATTATCTGTCCTTAATATAATCTCAAGTTGATTTTGAAGATTTGATCTTCTCTGGTAATTAGAAACCAAAATCTGTTCCAAATTCTCCTTCATAGCAACTAGCTCTGCTTTTCTCATCTCTGCTGCTGCTATCTCAGAATTACTCAAATGTCCATTATTACCTTGCAGTTTTATGAATGTTGAGTTCAGCTCAGAGAAAGGAAAAAAGGGAAAAAACATTAGCTCCTCTCCATTTCATTTGCAGGTAACAAGAGACAGCCTACATGTCTTCTTCAAGCGCAGCCGATGGAGGATGGGAAAGTTACTTGACCACACTATTATTTCCTTTGAACAGGGAAAATTTCTTCTTCTCCTGATTATCTGTCCTTAATATACTCTCAAGTTGATTTTGAAGATCTGATCTTCTTTGGTAATTAGAAACCAAAATCTGTTCCAAATTCTCCTTCATAGCAACTAGCTCTGCTTTCTCATCTCTGCTGCTGCTATCTCAGAATTACTCAAATGTCCATTATTACCTTGCAGTTTTATGAATGTTGAGTTCAGCTAAAAAGAAACATCAAAATTTGCCTAATATCAATCTATCTGCAACAACATTTTTAATCTTTGAACACCATTAAAGGTTCAAATAAACCTTACCTCATTCACTATATTCTTCAAATCATTCACTTTCATTTTAGATTCCGTAACAAATTTCTCTAGATCTTCTCTAAATTTCTTCATTTCATTACGTTTTAACTCATAAAACTTCTCTTTCTCCTTCTCCGTCTGCTCTAGCTCCTCTATTTCACTTTTCAAAACCCTAACAATCCAAATCCATAATCAAAACTCAAATCTAGTTCAGTTCTTCTTTGAAAACATTCACATTACCTCAATTGATGCAAATCGGTGTTGTATCTGGCATCGAGGCTCTCGATTTCAGATTTTAGAGCCAAGATTTTGAAGTTTTGAAATGCAATTTCACGATCCATCAACAAACACCGTTGCTCCATTGACCGAATTTCTGCTTGTTTCGATGCTAAAATCTGCAAATTGTTCTCTTGCAATTCTTTCTCTGCCTGCAAATCTTATTAATTTCAACTTTTTTCTTCTCTCGGCAAAAAAAAAAAAAAAAACAGTTAACAAGACGGCGCCTATGAATGTAGTGATTTACGATTGAGAACATTCCTGAAGGAGAGAAAAGGACGCTCGATTTCCTTTGGTATGTTCCATGTCGGCTCTAGCTCTGCTCGAAAACGCAGACGAAAGCGCCATAATTGCATGCTTGACGAAAATGGAATATTCGATACTGAGATTGAGAGCCTAATAAGAAGTCGCTCAGTTTCGAAGAATCGGATGTTATTATATATTAACTGGCCAAGTTATTCTGGTTACGGCCCTCTCAGTTCCTAAGTGGACTTTACCATAGCAATGCCCACACAGTGCTCTAACCTCACTTTTTTACACGCACTTAAATATTTGATTAAAATAGAAAAGATTCTAATAATTGCTTCTACAAATAAATTGGTGAGTTTAGAGATTTAATGTTAAGGAATTCAATTTCACTATTGTAGCGGGTAACCCAATCCAGCCATTCAACTTGCCAGTGTTTAACAAACAAATGTACTAATGTTGAAGTAAATATATTAAAATTTTAAAGAATTTTAAAAAATCAATAATTCGAAATTATTAATTAATAATTGTATTATAAGGATTTGTTCAATTGGTATTTGACAATTGTTTTTGTATTTCTTGAAAAAAAAAAAAAAAAAAAAAAAAAAAACAGAGGGGCCATGATTAGGATTTAAATTGAGAACCTGAAGGAGAGAAAGACGCTGATTTCTGGTATGTTCCATGTGCTCTAGCCTCTCTCGAAACGCAGACGAAAGCGCCATTGATGCTTGAGAAATGGAATTTCGATACGAATGAGAGCCAATAAGAAGTCGCTCAGTTTGAAATCGGATGGTTTATATATTACTGGGCCAAGTATTCGGTTACAGTCCTAAGTGGACTTTACCATAGCAAGCCCAAAGCTCAACCTCACTTTTTTACACGACTTAAAATTGATTAAAATAAAAATTTTAATTGTTCACAAATAAATTGGTGAGTTAGAGATTTAATGTTAAGGAATTCAATTTCATTTAGGGTAACAATCCAGCCATTAACTTGCAGTGTTTAACAAACAAATGTACTAGTTGAAGTAAAAATATTAAATTTTAAGTTTTAAAAAATCAATAATTCGAAATTATAATTAAAATATTATAAATTTTCAATTGGTATTTGACAATTGTTTGTATTTCTTAAAAAAAAAAAAATCATCAACAACTAAATGTGTATAACCATAGCCATTGAATAAAAAACAATTTAATTTTGAGATAAATTCCACTTTAACGGTAAAAAACTTCCCAAGAGAAAAGAATTCCGCTTTGTAAAAGCATATTCCTTAAATTATGCCAATTAAAGATATATAAAAATACATCCCTAAAGAAAACATAATGATGATCCCTCAACAAAGCCAGCATACAATCAACCTATCATTATGCCGTTATTATTAAAATTGCATTACGATCGGTGTGGATACGCAACCCCACATGGATGTTAACTCTCTTTTGACCATCTTTAGAAACAAAAAGATAGCTCTTTTGTTATTGAAGTCGCAATGTTATAAGCTAGCTACTTCTAATGCTTCATTGCTTCAAAACATTGAATTTGTTATAAGCTGCTCTTCACTTAAAATTGATTAGTAGGGTTATAAACGAATTAAATTGTTATTGAATTGATAAGATTTGATTTAGAAAAAAACCCATTTGATAAGTTTAATAAATCAAACTCAAATTTATTTATTAAGTTATTATTTAATGAACGAGTCACGTTCGAATTACATTTTTTTTAACTATAAAATATACAAGTCAAAGCTCAAATTCAATTTTGATTAGCAAAGTTCAAGCTCAAAAAAATCGACTCGGCTTAACTCATTTATAGTTTCATTTATTAGGATTTGGTTTTGCCACAATCAATGTAAAAGGGGAAAAAAAAAACTGAGTCAAATGCTGGAACAAATTTACAATTTCTCTTTGTTTATGGAAAAGAATAGTCTACAATTTTTTTTTTTCACCTAAACCCTAAACTTCTAGCTTAGGTGAAAAGCACCATGTGGCTAAAATTGAAGAAAGGAGAAGATAAAATTATGCAAAAGAAGAAACATAGATTCTCTGTCAAATTCAGTGCACCCATAAAACTATAAACTATCAATGATTTGTTTAGTGATGTTTATTCGTGTTTTTTTTTTTTTTGTTGAACTTTTGACTTTCTTGGCTGATAACTTTTGACAAGCATTGTCACTTCAACATCCAAATGTGTGATCCAAAAACCACCAAATATCTATTGAAGATTCCAGTTTTGCAGTACTCCTCTTCACTTTGCCCTTTCAATTTGTTATAGAGTCTTAACGCGATATACCGACCGCGGAATACATGAATTAATCAGATTATGTATCAAAAAGAGAAAATTAATCAAAAGAAATATTTTTTGGTGAAATGAATTAGAGAGTTGGAAAAACTTTAAAGTTAAGTGTGTTTACTTAATGGAAATCCTAAGATGAGTAACCACAACTTATCAACTTCTTCATTTAAATATCCGTGTCTCTTTCTGATTTATCAATTCAGCAGAGCCTCTTGATTTTAATTATAATTTAAAATTATAATATTTTTAGGGACATTTGTAATACCAATATGCCAAAATTTATTACTAATTGAACTCGTTCTTTGATAATATATCAACAATGAGTGTTAATTTTGTGAATTTTATCATCGCATCCTTCATTTTCTTTTCCTTTTCGTCACATTATTTTCAATTAGAGACATGAAAGGTGTTTGTGTTTTGGAGTTTTTTAGACAAAGACTCACCTATAGATTCAAAAATTAACCGCAAGAGATATATAAAGACGAAAATTGGAAAAAGGACATTTCACCTAGCACATAATTAGGCTATCCAATGATATACATGTTCAAGAGGATCCCAAGCCCTCTATCATATACCAATTAAAGGCAAGAGAAAATCAAATACACCTATTTTAAATGGTCAAAATCAATAAATATGAGATGTTTCGTGCATCACTGGGGTAAAAAAGAATCGAATTTGAGTTTTTCTTCAAATGATATATGTATATTTATCATCTCTCTAAATATTTAAGCGCCATTTTTCAACCATACTAAAAAAACAAAAAGGAAAATATAAACTTTAGCTAATGATATTTAAAGATGCATTAGATTTAAAGCGTATATGCAATAATCGCACAAGATGCAAATGCACATGGTGGTATACTTACTTATGGGACCCCATCAACATGACATTTTGGTAGAAAAGCCAACAAAATATGACAACCGTCTTTGCATAGACCCATAGACAAGGTGCAAAGCTTCAATTCCTTTTGAGTTTGATTGATGCTCATACTCTAATTAGTTTCATTGCATAGACAAAGGCACAAAATATGGGAAAATGCTTCTTAATTATTTAAATATTTACAATAAAATTTAATTTTTTTTTCCAGTAGTGTGTTAAATGAAAAAGATAATTTTCATTTAATTATTTTTCTCAATGTTCATAAATGTCTCTCCCTTATTATATGAAGATTCGAGTATACAAATGCAAAATCTTCTACTAATTAATTGCTGAGACTTTTAAGAATTAATCATTTTATTTGATATGATATAGAAATTTATTAATTCATTAAACGTTAAACGTGTTTCAATATATATAATAAGAAATACACAACGTGAGCACACAGACAGAAATAAAATACATTCAAAGACATGCTAATTTATATATTTATATACACTTTTTACAACTAATATAAGATTTGGAAACACCGGCTCACTCCAATAAATGAAAATGCAATAATTAAATATATATATATATATATATATAGTTGAATTAATTAAAAAATTTACATACCTATTCCTTAATATGATTCCTTCATCTTAATTTTTTTTTGACCAAAAAATGAAAACAAATTTGACGGTGGGTCCATAAAAATGATGGGCCGCATGTGCACCACGTTGGCTGATGTGAAACAGTGAGACCATCCTCATCAGTTTTAACTAAGGCTGAGCTTATATTGTCTCCCTTTCATCATCTCTCTGTGAACTTCTCCACAGAAAGAAAACAATCCAAAAGCTCCTTTGCAAAAAGGATTCTCCAGTGACCCATTGCTGACGGTATTTTGGGCAAAGGAATAAAGCTGAGCCGCCCAATTTCCGCTTCAAGATAAAAAAAGAACCAAACAAAGCCTAACCTTTTCTTCCTTTGCCCTACATTATCTTATACATGTATATATTCTGACCTTTATTTACTAATTATTATGTCATTAATTAATAAGCTAATAATCACAGTGAATCAGGTGATCTGTTTGGTTTTTCTATTTATTTAAAGAGGTTTGATATTTAAGTTTCATCAATTTAATAAGTAAAAAGGAGAGTTACCATGTTGTATAATCCACAATATCCTTTCAGCTCGTTGGATCTTTTAATGAATAAAAAAAAAGACCAGAAATTGTATGTAATAATTAGAATATCACGGTTTCTTTTAAAATTTATTTAAAATATGATTATTATTATGTTTCTTTAGTGTATTTAAGGGAAATGAGATGGAAAAGGAAAAAGCAAACTTGGGAAAATATTTGCATATTAAAACGAACAGTTATGGATTCCACGTCCAAAAGTAGAGACAGAGGTGCTTTTCTTTGCAAGCAATAATAATAGATTGACAAGGTTAATTTGTCTCTATCCTCAATTTCGTTAACAACAATTTATATATACATAAACACATGTCCTACAATTAATAACAAAAGTAGACTGATGAGAATAAACAAATTTTCTAAAACAAATTACACATTAATTAAATGGGGGGCTTTGTATTCCTTCCTTCTCTAACATTTCTTGATCCAGGAGAGAATTGTTGATGAAGATATAGGCTATGGCCAGGTTAATGAATCTTATAATTATATGTCGACGCAATTAATTAATTGTCAACATATAAATATAGGGTTGTTAACTTGGTCATGTAAATTGGAGATTAATTACCTTCGGGTAATTTTGATGGTTGCAAGTAGAAAAAGGAAATTAAAGAACCCTATATATGTGTTTGTCTAACGAAAATGCAATATATAAATAGATATAAATAAAAATATAAACACATTTGGATCCAATTGCTTAATATGGTCTTCTCATAATAACTTGGAAGGTCAGCAAATACAAAAACATCCAGTACACCAAGCTGTGGTATTCCTTGTTTGAAGCCTGTTTCACAATGAATTCCATTTAAGGAGAAAAGAACAAAAAAATGAAAGAAAAGAAAATCAGACTATTTCTCATCAAAAGAAGGACTTTTTATTGGCATTGAATGGCAATCTATATACATGTAATAATTACAAAAAGAAGAATAAGGAGAAGAGAAAAGGAAAGTTATAAAAATGTATACAAATTGCTCACAGACACACTCTCTCTCCCTTTTCTTTCTTTCTTTTTTCTTTTTTTTTTTTTCTCTTTTTCATATTAATGTATATGGTCACACTATACTATGTATGTACATTTTTCTTTCGTATATGTGTAAATTTTTTTTAATGTAAAATATTAATATATATATAGAAGTTTAAGAAGAATATATGTGTATTAGAAGCCTATGGCTTTATTACCTTAGACGCAGAATTAGTGAGAGAAATGGAAGCTGATGATGTTGATGATGGACTTGAGAGGGCAGAGAGTCCCACATTGTAAGCCATTGTACAATCAGGTTGATAGAGACCATAGTTTCTCTCCGACGTCGGTCCGGGCTTCATATCCTCATTGAACAAAGCAAATAAATATACTTCTAGCTTCATTTGAGGCCTTAAAGGCGTTCCTTCATTCTCCAATTGTCTTCTCAACAGATTTCTATTGTAAATTGCTGCATTTTCAATTGTTGCGCCAATTTCATTAGGATCTCCTTTTGAAGGCCAACCAGTCTCTGAAATCCTAACTTCAATCCCACTATAACCTAATCTAGCCATTGCAAAAATAGCTGCATCTACTTGTGCATATAACATGTTGTCATAATTTAACTTGGTGTAAGGATCCACCGTTCCTGAGTTAGGGTTAAAAAGAACATAATCCAATGAAACCCTGTTTGGGTCATCTTTATAAGCAAAATAAGGGTATGCATTGATCCAAAATGGTGATTTAGTGCTTGATAAGAATTGCAAAAACTGTGACATGACTCCGGTGACCTCGGTATTGAAAGTTCCGGCAGATGGAGGGAAAGATTGGGCAAGAACAGCTAGGGAATTAGGTGTTGACACTTGAATGTAACTATCTAGGCCTAATTGAACTAATGCACTATGAATGCTTACTATCGCTGGAACTAAATAGGCTAATAATGTTGTGTCATCATCGGTGAAGACTTCATTTCCGACTAAGATTCCGGTGATTCTCGTCTCCGGAACATATGGCTTGATTTGGGTATTAACCCATTGAAGGGCTTGTTGTGGGTCCATTATAACTGGTAACATTTGGTTTGCCACAGTAACAATAAGTTCAACGTTGGATTTAGCAAATGCAGTTAGGATTTGAGGATTTGTGTCATAGATTCTTGCTTTCGTGATCTTAAGAGAGGTTAAAAGATCAAGAACTTTCTCTGGTGGTGGCAAATTGTTTCCCACTTGACCATAGTTGATTCCAAGAGACTCGACTCCTTCTAGAAAACCACAATCTGTAAATCAACCATTCAATAAAAAGAAACAGAGTTAGACATAAAAAAAGAGAAAAAAGAAAAAGACATTAACAAACTGAAAAATGAAACTGGAAGGTTACCTGATAAAATTAAAGAGAATACAAGAAAAATATGGAACATGGCAATCTTGCTAAAAAATAATGCCATGAAGAGAGACAGAAGGTGATAAGAATTCCAAATTGAGAGAGGAGGAGGAGAAATGAAGGGAAGAGGGTAATTAATAAGAGGAGAGTTAATTCTTTTCTTCGCTTGTTTGAATATTTTTGGGGTAGGAGAGTGGGTTTTAGCTTTTCTTGCTACTCCTGCCTTTGGTTCTTGCTTACCTCCTAACTAGGTTTTATGGGTGTTTGCAGATTATGTGCTGATTTGTGTTTCTCTTATTTTTCTTGCATATGGGATGGCTTTTATTCTTGGACAGGCATGTCTCTTTCCAACCCATTTCAACTCCTATTCTTTAATGACCAAAATACCCCCAGCCACTTTCTTCAGCCAAAAGCAAAGTCCAAAGGAGAAACCCCACCAATTGGCTGAATTGATTATGCACATAAATTAGGATGGAGAGAGGTGAAGCACTAATTTGGCGTGGGGAAAATTTTAATTACTATAGATTCTACTTGTTAATGGTTCTAATACTTTAGGCAGGAGATGTTAAATATTAATTATTCATGCTTTATGTCTAATTAGTTGATTAAGCATGCTAGTGGTACTGATCATTATATAAATCTAGGAAATTACTCTTTTTCTTTCTTTCTTTCTTTCAAATTTTATTTAATTCAAATTGGATTAATCTAATTCTTTTTAGGCTAAATTTGGTTAGCCTTTACAAACTACAAAGTAAGCCATCAGTCGGTAGGACATAAAATGCGACTTACTGGAGAAGCTTATGTGTATTCATAATCTCAAAAAGTGAATAAATCAATCCACATATGCATTTCATCAAACAAATGATGCGCAAACAAAAAATACCTTTAGAAAGCACCCACTCTATACAAGACTAAATTTGGGAGTCTTTTATTTGACCTCTAGATAGTTAAATTGATGAAAACTCTTGTGGTTGAAATGTGAAAAGACCAATCAAAATGTATGATTGACATATTATTTCTTGTTTTTGTGTTATAAAAATAAAAAAATACTAATTAAAATTTTTTAAATAACATTAAATAGAAATTTATTATTCCCTCCGTCCCATTTTTTTTACATGGTTTGATGAAACACGTATATTAAGAATTTAGTTAACGAAAGTTAGTTTATCCTTCTTTACTCTTAATAATTCATTAAGATATTAATAAAAACTATTCATTTAATGAACTATTATAAATGTTAGTATGAGAAAAATAATTGTTTACATATACAAATTTAGAAATCTTGTAAACATTTTGGAACATCCAAAAAAAGAATAACAAAAAAAAATAAAAATAGAACGGACGGAGTATTATTTTTTTAAAACTTATTGATAAACAAGAAAATACTTAACCCCAAACTAACCCAGACTAGCAGGTCTTTCATATACACTCAAACCTAGGATATCAATATTAATAATACTAATTGAAATTTATTATTTTTAACTATAATTAAAATCATCAAATAAATATTAATTTGAAAAAAATATTAGTAATTAATTTTATGATGTTAATAAACTCTAAATATAATATAAATATAAATTAGCTCAACTATATAATATAAATATATTAGTAATCATAAATATATATTAATAATTAATTTATGATGTTAATAAACTCTAATTTTATGATGCTAATAAACTCAAATTTTATGATGCTAGCAATTGATACTAAAAACTCTAAAACATATCTGATAAAGTTAGTAATTGATTGGAATTTCTATCAACCGCTAATTAATCCTTATCAAACACAAATATGATACAACCTAGCTGCTGGATACATGTCAGCTATATATAAATTGCATGAGTCACTCTTATATATATGCTCCATCAGTTCCATTTTATTAGCTTATTACTCTTTTTTTGATATCTCAAAATATTTGCAAAGTTTCTAAATTTGTACATTTAAATAATTATTTTTCTCATAATAATATTTATGATTATTCATTAAATGAAGGACTTTTATTAATATCTTAACGAGTTAAGAGTAAAAAATGAAAAAATAATTTTTATTGACTAAATTCTTAATAATACATAAATTAGCTCAACGTATCGAAATAAATATATTAACGTAATTCAAAACTATATATTCAATAATTTAATTTATTGATGTTAATAAACTCTAATTTTATGATGGCTAATAAACTCAAATTTTATGATGCTAGGCAATTGATTACTTAAAACATACTCTAAACAATATCTGAATGTAAACTTTAGTAAATTGATTGGAGGACAATTTCTATCAACCGCTAATTAATTCTTTATCAAACAGCAAATTATGACTACAAACTAGCTGCTGGAATACTCATGTTCAGCTATATATAAAATTGCTATGAGTCACTCTGATTATACTATGCCATCCATCAGTTACCAATGTTTATTAGCTTATTTACTCTTTTTTTTGATGGTCTGTATTCTCAAAGATATTTGCATGAAGTTCTTCTACAATTGGCTTGTACATTTTAAATAATTTATTTTTTGCTTCATAATACTATTTATGATTATTCATCTAATAGTGAAGGACTTTTATTAATATCTTAACGAGTTAAGAGTAAAAAATGAAAAATAATTAAAAAAATAATTTTTATTGACTAAATTCTTATATACGTCGTTTGTCAAACTTATGGGTAAATAGAAATTAGAAATGAGAGAAGTATATCTTTACACATAACGATAAAGCCTTTTCTGTTTAAATGAAGGACTTTTATTAATATCTTAACGAGTTAAGAGTAAAAAATGAAAAAATAATTTTTATTGACTAAATTCTTAATATACGTGTTTTGTCAAATTATGTAAATAAAATAGAAAAGAGAGAGTATATCTTAAAAAAATTTTCTCTATTAATAAATGTAGAGTTTCAATGCTCCATGATTAATAACTTTCAAATAAACTAATATATATAAATAACTTGGAGTATTAGCCAATTCTATTTATTGCCTTTACTATTGTGTTAAAAATTTGATTGTTCATTAATTTATAGATTATTACTAGGAGAGCATATTAAAAAAAAAAAAAAAGACAGAAAAAAAATTTTAATTTAACCATATTAACTGTTTTTCCTTAAACCATATGTAATTCAAGGTAAGTCTATGTATATGGGAGAGAGGAAATATTAGAAAATCCAATAAATCATATTTTAATATTAACTGAGTGGATAAATTAATTATACTAGTAGGGTGGCTAGTTAGCCAAAGAAAAAACTCTCGTTGAAAAGTTAATTATATGCATTTGTTTGGTAAGTGGATAAGGAATTTTCCTCCCTTTTTTTCTTTTAATTTCAAAATATATTAAATCTGACGAGACATTGAGACGTCAGTATCCTTATCTTAAAACCACTCTTTCCTTCGCCTTTTTCTAGTTTTCTTAATGGTGATGCAAGAAACCAACTTATGAAGGTTTGTTTGCTATAATATAAAGACAAGAGGATTTGCTGGGACCCATTTTTTTATTACACATATGAAAATATTTTCACAGTCAAAATTGAATTTCTGCATGTGGGACTAATATAAGTTTTGATTTTGACAGGAGAATGATAAATTAACATTAATCACTATAATGGATAAAATGGTGTTTAATAATTTGATTTCAAGTAGGTTGATTTTGATTTTTCAAGGATTACAAGAGACTTCATGGGTGGTTAACGTTTCTAGTACTTAGCTTTTAGGGTTTTCTTTCTGAAGGAGACTATCTTAATCTTGATTATAACTTGATTTGAATAATTAAAGAGTTAAATTCGAAATGTAATTAAGAAATATTAAACAGTACATATAGTTCTATTGACCAGAAAGAGTTTTCACCAATTTAATAAGTTAAGGGATGAGCTACATAAAGTTTACATTATAGCTTCTATCTCCATATAATATTTATATATTGTTTGGATGGGCGTACGAGTGAACGTAAGATAGAACGTGAAAATATTTTGGGATTTTTAAAATTTCTTATTGGTTTCGATGAAAATATTAAGGAGAATGTAAAATAAATTTATTTTATACCCTTCTATCTAATTTTCACTCTATTTTGATTTGAATAAAAATAGTAAGTGATAAAGAACTGGACCCTAACTTCGCCCCAAAAACTAGCTTATAGAGGAAGGATTGAACCCAGCCTTATACATTAGGTCAGGATGTACTACGCGGGGATGTAGGACGCATCATCCCCACCCCCATAAGACCTGAATGCCTGATGATGCATCCCACATCGCGGTGGAGTACATCCTGAGCTAGTGTATAAGGCTGGGTTCAAACCTTACCCACGACTCCACATGAGTCCCAAGCGACTGGTATCGAGGAACTGTACTAACCGGGGATGTAGACGGCATCATCCCCACCCCCAGTAATGACCTGATAGTGCCTGATGATGCATCCCACAAATCGGCGGTGGAGTACATTCCTGAAGCTAGTGTATAAGGCTGGGTTCCAATCCTTCCTGCTACAAAGCTACCGTTAGGGGCGAAGTTAAGGTCTAGCCCTAGTCATGGTATCAGAGCTCTGGCTCCGTCAGGGTCCGCGTGTCTGCATAGGATCGTAGAACGCTGACTGAAGGCAGTGCGGGGTCTTTATGGCGGGTGGCGATGATGCGTCCCACATACGCCCGTTGGAGTACGATCTTGAGGCTGTAAATTCAATCCATTTTCCTTCTTACAAGATAACTTTTGGAGCGAAATAGGGGTCTTATGGGGGTGGGGATGATGCGCCCACATCGCCCGTGGAGTACATCAGCGAATCAACATCCTATAAATTACTTTTGGAGCGAAATTAGGGTTCTTTATGGGGGTGGGGAGACTGCAATCTTGAGGCTGAATTCAATCATTTCTCTATAAATTAACTTTTGGAGCGAAATTAGGGGTCTTATGGGGGTGGGGATGATGCGTCCCACATCGCCCGCGGAGTATATCTTGAGCTAGTGTATAAGGCTGAATTCAATCATTTTTCTACAAGTTAACTTTTGGAGCGAAATTAGGGGTCCAGTCCCTTATCAGTAAGACTTTACACCATTATTTTACTCTTTTTTTTTCCTTTTTCCATAGCATAAATAAAAAAAAAAAAAATCTTTCATTAAGATGACAACATATTATCTGATATCATGATTGACAGCTAATTATGCTTTAATTATATTAGTTATATTTTTTTTCACCTTTTAAATTGGCTGGTTAAATCACTTTCAATTTGAAGTCACTGTTTGCAATTTAAAAAATGTGGAAGTATTCTAATTGTCTTATGTAAACATCCATGTCTATGCTTACACTGCATATAGTTGAAAGTTGATTGATATTTATCTTGTAATGGTAAGCAATAAAAAATTTATGTAAACATCCTTGTCTATGCTTACACTGTATATAAAAGTTAACATCAATAGTTGAAAGTTGAATGATATTTATCTTGTAATGGTAAGCAATAAAGAATTTCTTTAGGCACGAAGGATATATACATTCGTTGGGAGCGTTTTACTTTTTAGTAACTCGATCCAAGATTTAATGGAACATTAATGCAAATCTGAAAATGTTAAATAAACGGGATGCAGATCCCATTCCCATTTATCTTTTTTGTACGTATAGATTCTACCTAACCTAGCTATATGTGATCCTATAGCTTGGTTGATCATTCAAAAGGGGATCACTCTAGCTCCCATCTTTTTGCAATGGGTGTCAGATAAATGGGCGCACTACAGTATAAATCAACGGAGAGGGTTTTAGCTGCTGTCAGATTGCTGTACTTCACTAAATGAGGGTGCTCTATCCATCGGTTTTCTTCTTCTTCTTTTTTAATCTGCAAGAGGGGCAAGTTGCTCCAATCCTGGCCTGTGCATGTGATCTTTTACTGGTAAAAAAGAGAAAAAAGAAAGCCCACCTTGTTAAGAAAATAAAACAATAAAGCAAGTCCTTGACATGGAAATCTTCAATATATATTATACAGTCATGCTCAGACCTTTTTTTTTTTTTTTTTTATTATATATATTTATATAGTATATGTTTGAATTATTTTTGGATCGGTTTAAGCTCATATAGATTAATTGTTTTTTATGAAATTAAACTCTAGGAATTGATAAGGAAGAAAAGCTCTCACTTTTAGTAAATGAATTATATTGCGTGTAACATTCAATGGTCGATAATTTTATGTGTTTAAAAACAAATCATTATAGAAATTTCACAGAAGAGAAGCAAATGAAAGGCTTTCATAAAAATTCTCCTACAATCAAGAACAAAATAAATATTAATTAGTTTACTTTAAAAAAATGTATTTATTTTAATAATTTAGTCAATTTCCCCATTTTCATAAAAAATAGGACTTGACTTTGAGATTTTGGTTCTATATTGATGAAATTTATGAGTGGGATAAAATTAATGAATCATTGTATTTTAATTGTATAATTTGTGGAGCCTTTAATTCACATAAAATTTCATAATTTTACATTCTGTGAACTGTAATGTATAATGTAATGTAATATGTATATATATATATATGCGCGCATTTTTATTATACTAAAAATACATTTTATTACGTTACGATGCACTAAACATAATTTAAAAATGTTAAAAAGCAATTAAAGAAACAAAAAGAATAAAAAAAAATAAAAAGTGATATTCATTTATCTTCATTCCACTTGACGAATCAGAAGAAACGGTACCACCATATCTTTTGTTAGCTGGTCAATGCCAGAATATATTTTCTTTATTTTCTTTTTTTTTATCCAAAGGGGATTTGCATAGGAAGTGAGAAAGAAAGTGAGAGCACAAAGAAGTTTTTGTCAAAAAGAAGACGCTTTAATTCTTTTGTTAAAGCCTTGCATTTTAGTGTTAAAGAGGAAACACACATATATATATATATATATGCATCATGGTAGAAGAAAAAGGGCCATAAAATGATGATAAAGGGATTGCATATATACACACATAAGAGTACAAATGCGATGGATCATCAAAGTGTTTGATTGACAAATACCTATGTATGTGTTTCCTCAAAGGCAGGCTTCTTGGAAAGGATTCTAGACCTTAGGTTTGGAACCATTTTTGCCATATTTTCCAAATTCCAATGTGGGTTGTCCATTTTTAAAGTTTCTTCTATTTCTTGAGAAGAAAAAAAGGGGCAAAAAGATTGATCCAAGTGGTGACTTCAAATAATAAAGTGTATCACGAGCATGATAGGAAGATAAGCCATTTTGTTAGAAATGAAAAGCAAGAATGGTTATTGGTTATTCTTGGTATGGTCTGAGCCAGCCATGCAAATCTTTAACCAATTTGTAGTGTCTTCATCTTGTGATGGTTAAGTTTGTGTCCCACATTGACATAAGGCGAAAACAGTGTAATATTTGAAAGATAGTTCCACTACTGTCTTTTCCCTCTTCCTCCTCAAATCACCATATATTATGATATCGGAGAAATGATTTATATATATTTAGTGTATAAGCTTATCTCATACATCAAATTAATTAAAAATAATTTTTTTATTTAAACAAAAATATTCCGTACCCACTCATTAAAAAAAAAGATAAAACAATAATAATTTTTTAATATATATATATTTTTATTAGCTTAATATATGGGTAGTCTAATGTATCATGTGTAGGCAAATCTTGATATTTGTGCATAAAGGACTTAAATTTGCCTAATCAAGGAGCTATATTTTTACATTTATTTTGTAATTCAAATAATATTAATGATTAAATTTTTAGTAATTAAAGGGGATAATGCATTTTCTCTAACAAGAAAACTATACATGGAACAGAATTAATTTCTATTTAACGATGGAGATGACTAAACCCTTAATTTTTTTTTTTTTTTTTTTTTTTTTTTTTGTGCAAATAACCTGACATTTGATATGATAGTAAACTTTTAACAATCAACTTTAAAAATAATTTAAATATCAATTACAATTTAATGTTTGGTTTTATAATTATTAAAATATTAATTAATTAATCGTGGAATCGTCTGAAAATATGTCTAATGCTAGGGCAAATATTAATCAATAATCTGGTGGAGCTTAGTGGTGGCTGTTGAGTTGAGACATTGACGCATTCTTTGCTCGAAAAGACAAATTAGTTGTCTGAATCTGAATGCCAAACCAACAATGAAAGGAGAATAATCCTTCTTCTTCTTCTTCTTCTTCTTCTTCTTCTTCTTCATTCCCAAAACGTTCCCATCCTACTGACGTTGAAACTCTACCTTCCTTTCATTGGGCCCCATAATGGGCCTTCGAGAAGGCTCTAGTATAGTCCTTTTCTGACCCACGTTTTGTTGGTCTTCTTCTTTTTCATCTGGCCCTTAATCAACGGGCTCGAACAAGTACCGACATTCATCATTTTTTTTTTTTTTTTTTTTTTTTCATCTTAAGAAGGTAAGCTTTATTAAGCTATTCTTTGAGTGTATTATTATTACACTAATCCAGTTTAATGAAGACATTTTGCATGAGTCAAGTTATAAGTATTTTTTTTCATTAGAAAAAAATAACACAAAATAGTAATATATAAATTTATGTGATACTTAATCCTCATAAATTTAGTTGATTTGATATGAATGAAAGTGTAAAATGTATTATATTTTATTTTTAAAAAATATTTTTAATACAATTTGTGCCAGCTATAACGTACATGGAAAGAAAAGATTGTAATGCGCTTGAAAATTTTTAATAGTTTTGATATGATTGTTATGTAACCGTAAATGTACACAAATCGTATTAGGCATAATTTTGTCATTTAACAAATCAAATAACTTTTTGTTCAAATTATTTTAATATTTTCAATAATAAAAAAAAATTCAATGATTAGGATGGGAATTTAATTATCTTCCGGCTTTCCTTATGAACTGCAACTTGACTAGATATTAAATGCAGCTGTACGGCGAACATATAAATACTAGGACAGCAACTTCCCACGTATGATGTTCATAATATATAGTACTTTAATCAATGAAATATTTTTTTTTGTAGAATGACAATTTTAACAAAAACATAATTAACTCATATATATATTATATACAAGGATATTTAGATATATAAAAAAAAAATGAATTGAATTAGTTCGTGAACCGTTCAAATTCATTAAAATAATTTAAAAAATTCAACTTGAGTAAACTTGTTTAATAATTAAGCTGAATTCAAATTTAAAATTTTTTAAATTGATTTTAAAAAATTCAAATCGACTTTCAATTTAAAATTTAAATTATATAATTTCTATTATTATTAAACAATTATAAATTATATAATTTCTATTATTTAATTATATTTTATCGTGTTTATAAGATAAGATTGTTTATTACTTTTAATTATTTAAATATTATAACTCAAATAATGAAAAATAAGTCATTATGAAAATATTTTTTTAGATAAAATATTTCTTATAAACATTTTTTAGACAATTATTTTCCTGTATGGTATTTTACGGGAATAACAGAGTTCTAAGTGAACAGTATTAAGACTATGTAAAGCTCCTTAAAAAAGCAAAAAAAAAAAAAAAAAAAAAAAAAAAAAAAAAAAAATTAGTGAGTGTTTAACTTCCAACATAGCAGAGGAAAAAAAAAGACGCTTAAGTCTAAAGAATTTCTACTAATTATATTAAGATATAAACGAACCCCGCATACAAAAAAAAAAAAAATAATAATAATAAAATTATATTAAAGTAGATTATTTTGAGTCCACAACTGATACCACTCCTCCATTGGAGGCAATTCCATAATCAGTCTATCCAAGTCTTTAAACGACAATCCTTTTGATAACTCCATATTACAGCTATCGTGGCCATGATCTGAGTTTTCAACTTTATCAGTATCAGACTCCGATCTTTTCCTCTTGACACCAGCAAAAGAGCTCTCTTCAATCCAAGAAACGCAAGAATCTTTACCAGTAAGACGCTGAACGACAGACTTGAAGCTTAAAGGATCAGTTACAACATACTGAGTGTCAATAAGCACCACTTTCACCTCTTCACGGCTTCTACCAGCCATCGAGAGAGAGAACAAACTTAGTAGCTTTATGCTCTATCTTGCTTCGGTTATATATGTAAAAAGTGAGCTCTATCTAGAGTTTAGAGCCTGAGAATCTTTTCTTTTCTGGGGTTAGGATAGATTGCAATGACGATGATTGTGAGTAAGTGGTTTCTTTCTGAACATATTTTTATAGGAGAGTAGTTGTAATGTAAGGAGAAAGAGAGAAGAGTTGTGCTCTGGGACCCAAAAGCAAAAAGGCAAGCTCGCTTTCAAGTTTAAATCGAGAAGACTTATAGTTTTGACCATGGATAGGCAGTCTTGAAGGACCAGAGGACAGGGTAAGTCTGAGTCAAAGCACGCAAGTTGGAATTGGTTGAAGTAATTTGGATCATTCGTTGCAGGTTATTATACACGAGCCAATGAAGCATTAGTTTGGTTTTGAGAAATGAGAGCTAGCGAATCAATTCCTTGCCCTGTCATATCTTTATTGCCTTTGCTGGAATTGTCTGTATATGTACGGACAGATAGACTTATCTAGACCGGATTGAGATCAAAACAATTAATATAAAATTTTTTAATTAAAATGAGAGATATTTTACCATAGGCTGACAAAAAAGATGTGAGCTCAGGCACTAATTTTATTATTATTTTCAACAAAATACATTAATACTCTCATAATACCAAATAATTTTATTAGATTGACTTTGTGAGCTTAGGCATTCCTCTTACAAAATGCATAGTCAACATTTTTTTTTTTTTTTGTGTACTATAACAAAAGCTATAGAATCCAAGAAAATTGAAAAGGTCAGTTGAAGCGGTTGTGGTTTTGGCAGCAATACCATTTTGGTCAACGCACGCAGTTTCCTTTTCCGAAACCAGCCTGCGACTGTTAGAAGCGATACCATTTTGTAGCAAGAAGGTGCCTAGTTTTTTTACTTTTACAATTCCGTAATTTGAATATTAAAAAAAAAAAAAAATTAAGCACATTTATTTTATGAAGGGTTGAAAGTTGAAACAAGTCAATTGATTTAACATTTTATTCTACCATGAATAAGAAGTGTTCAATTACATTACTACTAATTACTACTATTATTTTACGTAATCTGAGTGCTTTGTCAATATTACTAAGCTCTGTGTTAAGCGGTTTTGACAAAAATAATGCTTTTTAGAAAACTATTACCTAATCTAATGTCACTTCAAAACTATTTATCAATATAATATTTGTCCTGAGATGGAAAGAGAGTGTTGCACTAAAACAATCAATTGAGTTTTGTGGTTTCAGTGTAATAGAAAAAATAACTCGTACTGACAAGCAGTTAGCAAAAAATAATTAAATGGATAAACAATAATTTTTATTTTGTATTGAGATCATCAATTCAATTGGCGGTTTCAATACAAAATGAAAATTTAAATTGTTAATTTTTCACTAAAACACATAATTCGTTTGATGGTTTTAGTGCAACTATAAAATGTGATCACTAGTCAGTAAAAAGTACAAAAGAGTCCACTAGACTAATTAGTAGTTTCAATAAAAAAAATATTTACTCACTCAAAATATTTTTTCACCAAAACATACATATAATCTGGTGGTTTTAGTTAACAATTATTTCAAGTTAAGTAATAATAACGTAAGTTTGCTTACACAATTAAAAATTATCGAGAGTAATAAAGTGCTTTGAGTTGAACTTGTATGATGTTAAAAATGTCTTAATGACTAATACATGGGAAATTAATCATATTAATGTCTACCCATATGTCCTCATGTACCACACCTTAGAAACCTCCTATTACGACATAGATTTCGGCATACTGCATCTTCTTCAATACCTTGATATTTTCTCCATGCTCAATATTTATATCGACACTCATGCGAGGAGTTTGAACCACATTCACAAATGGTTGTTGTGGACTAGGAAATGTCACATGAGTCTATTGCTCGGGTACCATTATCATCTCAAAGAAATCATTAATTGAGTGCTTAACATGAGATATAGATCCATCACGTGTGCCTAAAGATACCGCAGAAGTATTGAAAGCATGTATGGTATGTTGAAATGACGTTGCCTCCCTATTTCGAAGAAAGAAGTATGGGTTTGCTGGGTTGTCATCATCGGAGTGTAATAAATGTTCAATGGCATTTCTAATGCTATAGATGGTACACTCCGCTCAAGTTGTGATGTAGAAGATTATGTGCTAGGTATATTAGCGCGATAACCTTCCTAATAGTCATATGTCATAGGTACAGAGACTTGAGGTATATTGTCTATTGGCGGGACTTCAACTGTAATACATTTAGATGTCATTTCATGTCTCCATCGCTCTGTATTGCTTTTAGTATTTGAACACGAGGAAACTCTATAGATGAAGCAACAGGTTGAAGCATAGGATGAGTCTCATTACAAATTTCATCATTCATTGCACCGATTAAGCTAAATAATCTTCGATGGAATGATGGATTTCTATGTGTTGGTGATATTGAACTGTGATATATATTTTGGAGCCCATTTGTCTGTATTAAAAAAAATATTATGAAAATAAGAGCAAAATTTATTATTCAATTAGATTAAAAAAATTATAAGATAATATAAGATTTCGAATAATTATTACAGCTCCAACTTCTGCACCTCGAAATAAAATCCAACATCTAGTTTGTTGTACATATCAAATGTACTGCACCAAAACCATCTGATTATATGTGTGTTTTGGTGAAAAAATATTTTGAGTGAATAAATATTTTTTATTGAAACCACTAATTAATTTTGTGGACTCGTAATAAAATATTATTTCCCATGTACATTTTGATGACTGGTGATCACATCCCATAGTTGTACTAAAACTACCAAACGAATTGTGTGTTTTAGTGAAAAAGCAAATTAACAACTTAAAATTTTCATTCTGTATTGAAACCACCAATTGGATTGGTGATTACAATACAAAATAAAAAATTATTGTTTATTCATATAACTACTTTTTTGCTAACTGCTTGTCAGTATGAGTTACTTTTTCTATTGCACTGAAACCACCAACTCAATTGGTGTTTTAGTGGAACCCTCTCTCTCCGCATCAAGACAAATATTAGATTGATAAATAGTTTTGAAATGGCATTAGATTGGGAAATAGTTTTATGGAAAACATTATTTTTGTCAAAACACCCCATGTCAATCCTAAAGGCTTAGGTATGAATTATGAATTGACTATTGAAATTTTATTTTTTAGGGTTAGTTGAATTTTTTTTTAACTTTAAAATTTAGAATGTATATGTTTTCAATCCAATTATTTTTTTTTTCTATTTTTTTGGTTACTCATTTTTAAATGAAAATGTGAATGTGTAGACAATACGCGAAGCATGAGATAAATTTGAATTCAGTTAACTTAAAATAAGAAATTAAAGTATCAATTTGGCTGGAAAAATAATCTTTTGATATAATTGAACTAATTAAGAAAATTTAAGGATCAATTTAATAATTTAACCATCAAATAGGATGGTTGGAAAGTGGAAAGTGTTCAGGGTCCCCTCCCCTTTGTTTTGTTTTATTAGCATGTGGAGTGGACACAATCCGCTCATCGTTAGAAGGTAGAGTCAGGCAGCCAGCATTGATTCATGGATTCCACAACAAAAGTACAAGTTTGTTGGATTGTTGAATATACCCAACCCAAAAAATCACAAATCATTTTATCATTTTATTAGTGTTTGTACTAATATTTAAAGTTTTGAAAAAAAATATAAAATATTATTCATAAAATTTTAGTTAAACAGCTGACAGTTATTAAAATGATATAATAGTATTATGGAAATATGTTTAAAACAAAAAATAAAAAATAAAAAAAAATTAAAAATGAGACAAATGAGACATCAAAATTGAATTATCAGACTAGCCAGATAGGAATGTAACTCTAAAGCCGTTATATACCTATGCCTTTTAGTATTTAAAGCTATAACTTACAGAAACGCAATTGAAGGAGGAGAGAGAGACTAAGACAGATAGAATCAATACAAATGAAATAACCTTTTTATCGAATCAAATATTTCAAACGACATGCGAGTAGTTGTATATGTGTTAAATATGTAAATTTGAAGCATGCTCGAAGCAAATCATAATTCATTAGAATCCAATCCCTAAATATTAACATATATTAAAAGTAATTCATGATAAATTAAATATCTCATAATTACAATATGCATGATATTATTATTATTAGAAATTTAAAAGCAAAATTTACGGTTTAATGATCTCAAATATCGTGATTATTGCGAATTTTTTCTAACTTTAAGGATTAAACTGGATAATCGCGTAAATTGATCAGCATGATATTGTTGCTGGATTGTATAACGTGCCCAGCCCAAGCCCAAACATAAGCCCAAAAAGGTTCCATGCATTTATATAATATAGGCTCTATCTGATTCCTAGACTCTACATTGTTATATTAAGGCCCACTGGACTTAAAAGCTTAGTAAGACAAAAAGCCCACAATACAGACTTGGCTTCTCTGACCACTCGGATAAGCTCAAAGCTCCAGGCAAAAGGAGAGAGGATCGAGCAAGTGGGAGAGACTGAAACTGAGAGAGCAGTCAAAAAAAAAAAAAGAAAGGGGGGGGGTACTCGGAATAAGCCTCCAGCTCCAGGCAAAAGGAGAGAGGATCGAAGCAAGTGGGAGAGACTGAAACTGAGAGAGCCAGTCAAAAAAAAAAAAAGAAAGGGGGGGGGGGGGGGGGGGGGTGGGGGGGGGGGGGGAGCTCAAAACTCAAAAGTTGCAATGCAAAAATGAAAAATCGCAAATTTTTGAATAGAAAAATTAAGCAAATCAAACAATAATACCAAAAAATGGAAAAAAAAAGTGGGGGGGGGGGGAGCTCAAAACTCAAGAAGTTGCAATGCAAAAATGAAAAATCCAAAATTTTGATAGAAAAATTAGCAAATCAAACAAATAATACCAAAAAATGGAAAAAACGTTTGTACGTTGTGCTTTAAGTATTGTACAATAAGATTTTTAGATAATGAAAGTATATGAATGAATATTAGAATATATATCAAGTTAGGTGGTAAAAAAAAAAAAATAAAACAAAGGTTAAAAAAAACAACAAGGAGAAGTCTTTCATCTAATTCTATTATTTCTTCTCAAATCTTCATCTCCCTGTCTCTCTTTTTTTACTTCCACAATACAATGCCCTCTTAAGAGATCACCTTTTGTTAATGTCTCTTCCCACCAAACGCTCTGCCAGTGCCACCGCCACCACATCTAGTTCCTCCACCACCGGCACCGCCAATTTTCCTCCTATGAAGAAGGCCAAGTCCCAGGCCGTCTCCGCTTGCTCCCCTCTCGAGCCTACCTCCAACAAAAACGGCCTCCACCACTTTAACTCCGCCACTGCTCCCGAAAACGACATCGTTTTCGACCCCTCTTCGATGACGCTTGATGATGATCCCAAGCTCGACGACCGCTCTCCTCCCCCCGCCGCTAATTTGTCTCGTAAAAAGGCCACTCCCCCTCAGCCCGCGAAGAAGCTCGTCATCAAGCTTTTGAAAGGTACAAGTTCCAAATTTTTTAATCGCTGCTCGATTTTGATGATCAATTTTATATACTCATTTCACTTAGTGTTTTCGTGATTTATTGAATTGGGGGAGGTTTTTTTTTTTTGGCACGAAATTGCTTTCTAGTGGATTGAATTAATGTGGGTTTTTGCTTCAATTGTGGAGCACAGAACTTGGATTATGGGATCTGGTGCTAGTGGAATTGGTGGCTCGATTTTATTTTGTGAGTGAATTGAGCTGTTAATTGAGTATTTAGAGGTTATAAATTTCATGTCAAATTTACCAGAATAACTTACAATTGCTGTCGTCTATGGATCTGGGTAAAATTTATCACATCCTTTTATTGTTCATGGCCCTCCCCGCCCGCTATACTTAGTTCTCTCTAGGTTTGAAAATGATCTAAGTGAGAAGAGACAAACCTCTAGGGTTTTTGGTGATTCTGTAATTTATTTGTTGCTTATACAAAGGTTTAGGTTGTTTTGTATAATTTCCTGCTGTGCTGCCAAGGAATTGCTAATTGCAGTGCACAGTTTTTGCATCCTTGTCCTCCCTACTGAGTTCCTTACAGTTTCTTTGCCTGGATGATTTTTGTTCTGCAGCTAGGTGTCAAGGTACTAGATTAATAGATTGTTTATTGCTTAACGCTAAGTCCCTTAGTTGCAGACTAAGTGTTTATCTGCGTGATTCTGTTCCAAAGGGACAACTTTAAAATGGAAACATCAATTTTTTTGAGTTTTATTCAGCTTTTGTCTTCCATCACTTGTTGTTTTCATACACTATTTGGATGTATACATTTGCAGGTGCTTAGTTCATTGTACAAGCCAAACTGTTGCAGAATACCTTTTACTGTAAACACAAAGTAATCTCGCATTTGCCACAATGATTGTTTGCCAAAAGTTTGAAAATGAATTTGACAATGTTCACTTTATTAAGCACTATTTAAGTGCTGCATTTCGGCATTAGTTTTTCATTCCCTTTATTGTTTATGATATTATTGATAGTTGGACAGTAACATACTAGATGTGTTATGCATTTGTGTGATGTCTACCCGCATTCCTCCGACACTTTTACATTAATTTTCTGAGTGGATGAGTAGAGCACATGATATATAGCATGTTGATATTTGACATTGGGTTTCTGAACTTACAATTTGGACTCAGTATGTGCTGCATATATTTCATCTTTAACTTTTTCAAAATTATGTTCCATGAAGCTAAACCTACACTGCCTACAAATTTTGAGGAGGATACGTGGGCAAAGCTACAGTCAGCTATTAAAGCAATATTCTTGAAACAACCAGATTCTTGTGATTTGGAGAAACTTTATCAGGTAGATCCTTCTTCACTTTACTTTTCCTTGTGAATAAATCAGCTTTTTCTCATGTGAATATTTTGCATTAGGCTGTCAATGATCTTTGCTTGCACAAGATGGGTGGTAATCTTTATCAGCGAATTGAAAAAGAATGTGAAGCCCACATATCTGCAGCATTACAATCTTTAGTTGGCCAAAGCCCAGATTTGGTTGTTTTCTTATCACTTGTTGAGAGATGCTGGCAGGATATGTGTGACCAAATGTTGATGATCCGTGGTATAGCCTTGTATCTAGATAGAACATACGTGAAACAAACTCCAAATGTGCGTTCATTATGGGATATGGGTTTGCAGCTTTTCCGGAAGCATCTTGCCTTGTCTCCTGAAGTTGAACACAAAACTGTTACAGGCCTTTTGCGAATGATTGAGAAGGAAAGGTATTTATAGAAGTTTCAAAATCTAATCAAGGATATATTGTGCTTCACACCTTTTGCATGTGTTTGCTTGCATTAGTGCTCACCCATCTTTTTAAATTACTTTATGAATTATTTGCATCGATGGAAGAGCTAAGGTATATATGTGACCGATGATAGGAAACTTGCTTTAGGTGCTTATACCTTCTTTTTGACTTATTGACTTGTCCATGTGGTGATTTGTAAAGTAGATGTCAGTTCAGCAATTTTAGAAATGGCAAAAAGGAGATGAAAACCATTTTAGAAAGTCTACTCACATCTGTTTTTTTGAAGAAAATTTTAATGTAGAATGTATGTTTTGGAAGGACAAAGCATGTTATCTTGCTATGTCATGCCCATATAAGGCTAGCAAATGCCCAAATGAAGTGTAATAGAAGGATTGCTGTAATTTACACCATCATCCTAAAGTTGGCATATAAGTGGCAAATTCTAAAGGTGGAGTGAAAATTGACAAACACTAAAATGTTGGTTGTTTAAAATAAAACTATTCACGTTTGGTTAAAAATGTTCTGTGACGGCCCCTAGCAAAGCATCTAGTTATGGGTCCTTGAGTGGGAACTCTAGGATCATCTATAAAGAAAGCAAAATGGTTATTTCTTTTTCGACCTATGGTTGCTAACTTTGGGCTCATCAGAGAGAACCTGTAATCTCTTGAGTTCAAAGTACTCAAAGACTTGTGAAATTTTTCTCATAACTTTTCCATTCATCAAAGATCAAAGAAATAGTTCTGTGGAGAAATAACTTTTCCTACATCTTAGGGAGCATAAACAAATGTGGTCCATTCCCACCAGATACAGCTAAGGACAAGGACAAGAAGTAAAAACTGTTTACAGAAAATAAAAATAGAAATAGGACAAAAATGAAAAATGGAAATTCTCAATCAGCTACTTTTTTGCGGGGCCGTGTGTGATCCTCTTGACAACATGTTCTCAAGGCTGGGTTTTATTTTGAAGTAGTTGGTTTACAGAAGTGGTTGAACATAAAGTAACTTTTAAAAATAATTACCGATTGCAGATATAAGGATCATTATGTTTTGTGATTGCAGATTAGGTGAAGCAGTTGATAGAACTCTCCTTAACCATCTTTTGAAGATGTTTACTGCTTTAGGAATTTATGCAGAAAGTTTTGAAAGGCCATTCCTTGAGTGCACGTCTGAATTTTATGCTGCTGAAGGCATGAAATACATGCAACAATCAGACGTTCCAGATTACTTGAAGCATGTGGAGGTGCATTCCAGTTCTTCTTTAATATTGCAAGAGCTTGTGTCTACTCTGTGTTGTCAATGCTCTGTTCTTATATGTATACTCATTTGTTGCACATTCTCGCAGATAAGATTAAATGAAGAACATGAAAGATGTTTACTCTATCTTGATGCAAGTACTAGAAAGCCACTAATAGCAACTGCAGAAAGGCAGCTCCTAGAACGCCATATATCTGCAATTCTGGATAAGGTGTGGATACACTGTAGTTATTCATATCCCTCTTTGAACATGCAATCTATTTTCACAGCTTTGAATAATTCTTTCTTTGTTTTTTCCAGGGGTTCATGATGCTAATGGATGGCCATCGAATCCAGGATCTTAAGAGGATGTACTCATTGTTCTCAAGGGTCAATGCTCTTGAATCATTGAGGCAGGCTCTTAGCTCGTATATACGAAGAACTGGGCAAGGCATCGTCATGGATGAAGAGAAAGATAAGGATATGGTTTCCTCTTTGTTAGAATTTAAGGCTTCGCTTGACACAATATGGGAAGAAAGCTTTTCAAAGAATGAAGCATTTTGCAATACCATAAAGGACGCGTTTGAACATCTAATTAATCTACGTCAGGTTGGTGTGCCTTTCACTTTTCCATATGATATTATCGGCATGGTAAAATATGGACTTCTAAACAAGTTGAATTGTAAAGTTTGCCATGTAGATGATATAGTGTTAATAAAACATATTAGAGTGGTCAAAGTTAGAGAAATCAATTCTGATTTAAATTAAGGAACCATAATTCTTTTTTTCTGCTATTAAGAAAGATGGAATCTTCCTTTGCTAATGTGGAGCAGACTTGAAATAATACGATCATCAAGTTAACAAGTCTCCCTGTTTGAAATGGTTGTATAATATAATCTTCCTGGTACTCTCATCCTGGAGGGTGTCATATTGTGGTTTTACATGGCACTCTTCGTTGAGAGTGTCATATTGTGGTTTTACACGGCACTCTTCCTTGAGAGTGTCATATTGTGTTTTTCATGGCAATGCAATGTAGATAGAGAGATCTGTCTGTGGTTACTTATTTGGTGAGCTGAATGGAATTTTGGTTTTTCTGATCTGCTTTTGTCTGTTTCTAAAGCAGTATGAATAATTTTTCAATTTTTGCATTTAATTACTTGATTTCACTTTTCTTTTCTTTTGCTAATAGGAAAGGTGTGCTTTATTCATTTTTTTCTTATTGGTTTTCTTTCTCATAATTTTTCCTTTTGAAGAATTTGATTTATTCAACATGAATGATCTTGCAACTTCCATCATTACAAACATAGAGCTAAAATTGAAATTTTTCAGAAGAAAAGCTATTACTTCATCTATAGGTCTGTTGCGTCTAAATATATGCTGATAATTGAATTCCTAGCAAGAGTTTGTGTTCCTGAAACTTTTTTCATTTGCTTGCTGAAATATTATTGATTTGAGAAATCTGTTAGTCTATGATTTAGCAAGTGCTATTTAAGAAATCATTACTCCGATAGTTGACGTTAACCTCAGGTGATGATCACCCCATTGATATTGCTGATATTGATTTTAGCAATCTGTTAGTCTATGATCAACCTCAAGTTTCATGGCTAAGTATTTATTATTGTTCTTATTTTAATAGAACCGACCAGCTGAGCTGATTGCGAAGTTTCTGGATGAGAAACTTCGTGCTGGAAATAAGGGTACTTCTGAAGAGGAGTTGGAGGGTACACTTGATAAAGTTTTGGTTTTGTTCAGGTTTATACAGGTAACATAACATGTTTACTCTAGCATTTGATGCCTTTTTTATTATAATGTCATCTATGGCTGTGTTATAACAAAATAATGCAGAGGTATGTGCATGACTTTTTCATCTTATGAAGGGCAAGGATGTGTTTGAAGCATTTTACAAGAAGGATCTTGCTAAAAGGCTGCTTTTGGGGAAAAGTGCTTCCATTGATGCTGAGAAATCTATGATATCTAAGGTTTGGGATACTTTTTTTTTTTTGTATATATTTTGCGTCCTTTTCTTTATTGATCATATTAACAAGTCTGCGTTGTCATTGCAGCTGAAGACTGAGTGTGGCAGCCAGTTCACAAACAAACTTGAAGGAATGTTTAAGGTGCTTATATTCATATAAATTTTTATTTAGTATCATAATTGTCACTGAGACGTTTAACTTGAGGTGACAATTGTAAATTTCATATCGCTCGGTGCCTCCAAGGAATGCAAGGCTTGATGCTGCTCCATTGTGACTTGAGGTCTATAAGTATAAACCAGAGGAACTGCCTTATTGCAATGGAGGGAAAAGGCTGCTTACAGCCCTTTCCATATTTGTTAGAAGCCTAAACCTTTTTAGTTTAATACCGGAAGAATGTTTTCATTTTAAGGACACCAAAAGAGGTGTAGCATGCATTTAAGATGCTCAGATTAAAGCTAGGATGTTTTAAATTCTCCCTCAGTGGGCCTCCTGATAATGGTCTGAGCAAATTTTCACAAATACTAATGTCATGCCAAATGACTGAATTTGTGTAAATGTCTGCATGTGCACCAAACTTGCATATAGGAAATCACTGACAAACTCCTGCATTATGCTTGTTGGAAAGAAAGAAAGAAACAGAAGAAAAAATTCTTTGATCTTTCCAAAAGCAAGCAGGCATGTAGTTGTATTGTCTTCTGAAACATCTGTTGAAGAATGTTGTTTTTAATGCGTATTTATAGTTGACAGGCTATGCATTTTACGTTTTCTTTTTGGTGGGAATTATTCTGGTTTGACTTGACACAAAGGAGGGTGACTGCTCAGGCATCTGAGCATTTTGTCACTAGCTAAACTGTAACAAATATGATGTTAATGTCGTGTTACAATATATTATTGGTAGGTATTAAATATGGGTGTTAGTATGTTAAGAGAGGTCGGAGTATAGGTTAGTAACTGTTTAGGTGTATAAATGAATTTACATACTTTGTAATTAGTAGATTGCTTTTCATAAGAAAGATTCTTGTTATGGCAAGTTAATTTTTGAGCAACTAAGAAAATTTGTCAACATATGTAAGAATCAAGCATTGTTTTGGTTCTTTTGAATTTCGTACATGTTAACTTCATATCAATACCAGTGATAATGTTTGGTAAACACTTTTACAGGATATTGAACTATCAAAGGAGATCAATGAATCCTTCAAACAATCATCCCAGGCAAGGACAAAACTTCCATCAGGGATTGAAATGAGTGTCCATGTCTTAACAACAGGGTAAATTTAGATGCAGAATTTTCTAGATTTCAAGTAATCACTGTATGTTCAACCAGTATGCATGGTCCTGCAAGTTGAATTCATGTTTGGTTGTCTGGGCTGTAGGTACTGGCCTACATATCCACCCATGGATGTTAGGCTTCCTCATGAGCTGAATGTCTATCAGGTTATGCACAAGTTACCCACTAGCTGTTTTTCCAATATTGGTCTTAAAACAGTATTTTCAACAAATGTTTCTCTGATGCCTAACTTTTCTGTACGCTACAGGATATTTTCAAAGAATTCTACTTGAGTAAGTATAGTGGCAGGCGCTTAATGTGGCAAAATTCATTGGGTCACTGTGTGTTGAAAGCTGAATTTCCAAAAGGTAAAAAGGAGCTGGCAGTTTCTCTATTTCAGGTTGGTTTCAAACCTTCCATACGCTTTTCCTTATAGTCTAGTCTTTGTTCCTTTCTTTTCTCAATTCCACCTGCACAAGAGGGTTTTTCTAATATTTCAGTGGCTTTATTTGTTTTGTGACAGACTGTGGTGTTGATGTTGTTTAATGATGCCCAAAAGCTTAGTTTTCAAGATATTAAGGATGCCACTGGCATAGAGGACAAGGAATTGAGACGGACTTTGCAGTCTCTTGCATGTGGAAAAGTCCGTGTCCTGCAAAAGGTGAGCATGTTATCATCTGCATTGCAATTATTTGTACATTTTCAGTTCTTATTTCTGATTCTGGTATAGTTGGTACTGTTAGTTTTCCTTTTCCCTTTCTCCTTTTCCTGACCCCTTTTAATCATAAAATTTGTATTTTACAGCTACCCAAAGGAAGGGATGTTGAGGATGATGATTCATTTGTTTTCAATGAGGGATTTACTGCTCCTCTCTATCGCATCAAGGTACCTCTGTTTGTAATTTTGGTATCTACTGCAGCAACCGGGTGGTGTTAAGTAGGGGGCGTGATCAAGTTGAGTTGAGCTGATAGAGTGCTGAGCTTGAGCTCGACACGATTAAAATATTCAAGGCTCCAAACTTGACTGAAGCCCATATTGTGTTGCACCTGCACCTGTCTTTTTCACTAATTGAATGTTGGATCTTTAAGCAACACTTACTTGGGGATGCAGGTTAATGCAATCCAAATGAAGGAAACTGTAGAGGAGAACACAAACACCACTGAAAGAGTATTCCAGGACCGTCAATACCAGGTTCATCTTTGCCACATGACTGTTAATTTGTTTGTGATAATTTTTTCGAAGAAACTGAGAACTAGCAAAGTGAACCGTATGTAATATTGCTTTCTATATTGCAGGTTGATGCTGCTATTGTTCGGATAATGAAAACAAGGAAAGTCCTAAGCCATACACTCCTGATCACTGAACTCTTCCAACAGGTAAGTCATTCCATTTTATTTATCCCAAGCATATAAACTGGTTCTATATTGATATCAATGCGAAGCCGGCATTGACATTGAGAATATAGCCGAAGCTCCTTTCCAATACCAATATTAAATCATAATTTTAATCAAATTCTTGGACTTCAAATAATCGTAGCCAACTGCGCTTCAATTGTATCCTGATATCTTCATTAACTGGAGATTGGAAAAAGCTACAATATTGTAATTTACCAAGTTATGGATAGACCAAATGAGACCGACCAGGGAGTCAAACATGTAAATGGACCTAATATAGAGCTGTTTCCGAATGAACTAATGATTTTGATGAAAATTGTGTTTTGTTATGGTGAACAGCTCAAGTTTCCTATAAAGCCAGCTGATTTGAAGAAAAGGATAGAGAGTCTGATTGACAGGGAGTACTTGGAGCGAGACAAGAACAACCCTCAGATATACAATTACCTGGCGTAATCAATCATTTTGCAGCACGAAGTAGCACCTTGTAAATGACATGGGAAATATCTGACCTCGAGTTAGGGAAATCCCTGTCAGAGTATGTACAGTAAGTTGTAGTAGCAATTTATTTTTGTTGTCAGTCAACACTACAATTTGTAAAGCATAATTGTTTTCTCTTTCATACTTGTCTTGGTGTTGTAGACTTGGAGTTGCTTTCAAATAAGTGACACTTAAAGAGGGGGGCTAAGTGGAAATGATTTGAAAGGAGAACAAGAAAAAATGATGTTTAGAGGTTTGTACTTTGTAAAAGTTGGAGAAAGGTGAGAACTGAGAAGAGATGGGCTCTGATATTTTTATGGCAAGTGTGTGAGAGCGGCCATTTCATAGAACTGAAGGTGGATTTCTGTGTCCTCCTGACCATCCCACCCAAAAAAGAAAAAAAAAAAAAAAAAAAAAAAAAAAAAAAAGTCCTCCTGACCATCCCACCAAAAAAGAAAAAAAAAAAAAAAAAAAGAAAAAAAAAAGAAGAAAAGAATGGTTGATGTTGAAATCAAAGTCATAATTTTTTTTTTTTTTTTTTTTTTTTTTTTTTTTTTTTTTTTTTGTATGAACAAACTGATGCAGTTTTTGGCCTCGATTGATTTCTCGTGCTTCATATAATTTAGATAATTTTTTAGGAGCGAATATTTTTTTTTTTTTTTTTTTTTTTTTTTTTTTTTTTTTTTTTTTTTTTTTTGGGTATGAACAACTGATGCAGTTTTTGGCCTCGATTGATTTCTCGGTGGCTTCATATAATTTTAGATAATTTTTAGGAGCGAATGAACTACGCTTTGTCACTTCTGCTGTGCCTTGCGATTTCGTGTGAGCACTAGGATAAACGAGAAAACAAACTCAATCTATACCACACTATACTTCAATCTACAATTTAGGTAATCTTGAAACGGATTATTTATTGTTTTTCTGAGAAGTTTTAGAGATTTCAATTTAATAGCTGATTTATTGCTGTAAAATAAGGACTTTTTTTCTTTTTTGCTGCCTTTTTCTGGTGAAAGGTCTGTAATAAGAAGGATTTTGCTTATTAACCGTCATAAAATTAGAAAATTTATTATTCTTTTATTATTATTATTATTTCCCTTCATATCTTCAAATACATCGTTACAAACCTGCAATTGCAAATTTGAAGTTCGAGATTATCCTTTTTTTTTTTTGGTAAATTGAGAATTTTCCAATATATTGAAATGCTACTACCAGCGTTACTACTTTGGATCGTCAAAGCCAAATTAACAAAAAAAAAAAAAAGGAAAAATATATGTAAATGTGAATTTATGGTCAATAAATGGCAATTTTTTCCTGTAATTATGTCCATCTTAATGGCTTTCAATTTTGCAGTCCAAATTCAATAAATTTAAACAAAGAAGGCTAGGAAAACCATAACCAGTCTCGATTACAAGAAAATTATAATCTTCACTCACATTTTTTTATTGTTTTTTAGAAAGGAAAAAACAACAGAAACAAAATTTTAGTTGAATACCAACCAAGCAAACACCGAAACAGTTATATCCTTTTGCGGTGGCGATCACACGATCTTGATTGGAGTCGAAGAAGCAGGAGATTGACCATCGGAATTTGGATTGAGAGGCGCGTGAATGTTGGAGGAAACGACATCGTCGTCGGGATCGTAATCGGGATTAAGAGATCGATCGATGGCTTCACGGCCTTTTTCAAGACAAGGTTTGCAGGCGATCTCTATTGCTATCCATCCAAGAATGATTCCTGCCACTGCTATCAAGGCAGTCGTGATTGCTGCCATTTTCCAGATTCTAATTCCTCTCTCCCTCTTCCTCTGGATTTTAGAGAACAAATTGCTTGCTCGCCAAATGGGCTGTTAAAGGTTCTGTCTGGTTGACTAGTTGTTTTGAACAAACAGTCCCAGGCCCACTCCCTCACCTTATATTATGAATGGTAGAATACTCTTATTGTAAATTCGTTAAAAAATAGCAAAGCAATTTCAGTTAATAAACGGTAAAAAAAAGTTTATTATTTTAAGTTTATAAGACTCTCTCAACTTTCACTTTAATACATGGAACACTTTAATTTATAATGTTATATTGTAAAATTAAATTTAATTAAATACTTATTAAATCGTAGAAAAAATGTAAAAATTATTGTTTCATGAGTTGTACTGACTACACAAAAAATAAATATTTTATATGTAAAAGTTAAAATTTTCAAAAATTATTATTATTAGTATGAAAATGGGCATAAATATTACTGATATTTTAATACAATAAGTCTCTCTCAAGATTGAATAAGTTAAAAATTAAAATAATGAAATTGGGGAAGGAGGTGGTGAATTTTTATACTTAGCTGTTAATACAAAGTTGTGATATTGTCTTACAACTGTACATTTACTTGATTTTATATGCTTTGGAAAATTGGGAATTGTTGTTTTACAGAAATTTCAAAAAATTTCAGTAAGGCAAAGTGACCCACACCCACTTACCCCTTGTATAGAGTTGGCTGGCTATAATTCAGTCGTCCATCAATGTGCCATAAAAGCATGGGCAGAGCCGCAGACGGAGGGGAAGAGGGAGGGGAGTGGTATTATAATTTACTCTCACCTTAAAAGAAAAAAAAATGGATAGTTTATCATTTGAATTTGCAGTTTTTGACAACAAATTGGGTAAAAAAAAAAAAAAAAAGAATACAATCCAAGGCCATTGCTGATTGTTTAAATAGATCACTAGATTTTCTTTTTTTATCTTTTTGGTTATCAGTAGCTATGACAATGTAGATTGGTTTTTTACTCCGTACTTAAGTATTTGCGTTGCTCATTCTCTCTACAATGACACGTCCTGCTTGTAGAAGACAGTGCAAACGAGAATCGAGCAAAGTGGAAAGGACTGCGAAAGCTCGATGAGAAAGATTGATTTTCAGTGCCAATGCTGAAAGTGGTAATGAAACTTGGAAATAACTATAGAAAAACGTGTTTACTTTAGAAAAACATCATCTCTATCTTAATTTAGACAAGAAGTATTTTATAGTCATTGACATGGACGTTTCAGAGTAAGCATTCTAATAGCAAGCTATCAGGCAGAACCTTAGCATGCTCTGTGATTAATGCTTCTGACATAATTTACAAAGGGAGATCCTAAACTGAATGTGGATCCTAATAAAGCAAATCAATCCAAAGCAATCTAGTTCAATGTCATCTGGAAGCATGAAGCCACTATCCGATAATAAATCAAACTTGTTTAGCAAGTAGCTTGCTAAAAAGAAGCAATTAAGACAGCGAGCTAATGAATCTAAAATCATCGAAAATCATATCCGTTGTGTCAACAAACTATGTTGACAATGACTGGAGTGATAAGTGATAATACATGTATGCAATACACAGTATTCGTCGAATAATGATATTGAAACTTTCATTAGTTTAGCAAGATGATAGCCATTTTACATAAAATACACTAAGCAATCATTGTAAAAACTAGATAGAAAGATAAACTGCAAAAGCAACCATATGATTGATACATTTGTTCTACACACAGCCATTAGCAATCTACAACTTTCGCAAATACACATAGTTACAATTTATTCAAAATCATGCAAGACAAGATGCAGAGATCACAGAAAAGCTAAGCAAACAGAACCTGAGAGCTTGAGGGTGTCAGGTCACAAAAACTGTCTGGTGGATCTATTACATGCCATGTAACACTGAAGCTCCACCTTTTTCCATAAGTGCCTTTTTGCTTCAGCTTAGAGATGTGACCCACAGCGACATGAAGATTCCGACCCACGACATATATTTTGCAATCACAGGCATTCACAGCAAAGGGCTTGCAAATTTGCTCCGGTAAAGGAGGCCCTTCTATTGTTTCCCAGGAATCAGCCTCCACATCATACACCTTGACCTTCATCCTTTCAAGCTCTGAGACCACAAACAAGTGTCCATAGACTACCACACTTGAGCCAGTCCAGCCTTCTCTCAACCCAACAGCCATGTTCTCCCATCTATCAGTTCTTGGATCATACACCTGACCCCTAGGAGAGAAAAAGAAAGGCCACAGCCAGCCTTCTGTCACAAGAAGCTTCCCGTCGAGAACTGCTGCATCATAAGATGCCATATTTGTTCCCATGCTTGAAATACGGCGCCAATTTCCCTTCACAGGATCCAAAACCTCTGCCGAGTCAAGCTCAAAAAGATCAGTACTGTTTCCTCCAGCTACATATATCATCCCATCAATTACCCCACTTGCAAAAAATGATCTAGCTGCAATCATCCGATTCATTACAGTCCAACGATTCTTTTGCATCTCATACTTCAAAACCAAATCAAGGGGGCAATCCACATCAGAGACCATGCCCCCACACACAAAAAGTGTACCATCAAAGGGTATGGATGCACACCTGAATCCATGAGGGCAGACCTTGTCTTTACATGGCATAGCCGGGATAGTGTGCCATGAGAAATGGATGAGATCTAGAACCTGCCACTGAATCTTTCCAGTGCATTTATGGAAAGCAAAGACAAAGAGCCAAGGATCCTTGAAGCCTAGCTCTTTTCTATGGGTGAAAAATCGCTCTTTATTACCGAGTAATAAATGCCACCGCCTGCAAACAGCTCTGCAAGCTGCAAGGCTCTGGACTGGAAGCCGGAGAAGACAGTTAAGTGCAACATCATCAGGAAGCCCTGGAATTAATGGTTCACCTTGGAGAGATAACTCAATCTCTGATGAAGGACTTAATAAGGAAGATTGGATCACAGCTAATCTAAATTTGGGAGATAATGCCATTTGGGAATCTCCTAGCTTATGTACAGGTGCCTGTTGCGACGACAAGCGAACTCTTTGCATCTTCTTGTATTGAGTTAAAAAAAAACAGTAGAACTCTCTCAAACGTACTGAGAGGCCCTCTTAGTCATATATGTCCTATCTCCAAATTGTGAAATTGAAGAATCACAATGGAAAGCCAAATTCGATTCCACAGCAAGAAATCTATCCCTAATCCTCAATTACTCGTCATGTTTTACCATTTGCAAAAGCGAATTTCTCCACATGAGAAATTAAACAAAAACAAAGCCCAATTCCATATTAACAAATTCCCAATAAGAACTACGACAATCAGACCACACAACAAAATTCTCTCCAAGAGAATCCAAATTCATCACTTTGGGCTATAAATGTACCGACTTGAGAATCTAAAAGCTACCGTGGCACTGTTAATAATAATACCGAACATCCCAAATAAAGATCAATTACCCCAATAAGGACAATGTCTCAAAAGCAGCTCAATTGCTAAAGTATCCTCCCTAAAAGCAACAAAAACTAATAACCCACAAAAATTCAATCCACAAATCAGCTAGAAATGGAACTTTAGCCAAAGAGAAATATAAAGCAAGCAAATTTAACCCAGAACAAACCTTTTGATATACAGCTAAGAAACTAAACTGAAGCAGCAATTAATAATTAAGCAATTATTAAAAATCAGTATACGAACTTACAGAAGGAAAATCCTAGGATAATTATCATAAAGATGGGGACTTCGATAGAAATTAGCTCCTGTTCTTTGCATAAAGAGGTGACCCAGAAGATCACTCTTCTTCGCCAAGGAAAAGATTATATAAAATCCCTGTGGCAATTACGGGTTCAGCGGTTCCCAAGAGAAGTAATTGCACGCGCTAATGGAGAGTGCTTAACACGTGTCGAGAGGCCTGTCTGTGTTCTCTGAATTTGCGGGAGCGTGTTGTACAGAGGCTCTCACAATATTAGCAGTTAGTTGGTACTGTTCGAGACGTTGAAAATTAAAGAGGAAGATTTTAGCTCAAAGCCGTAGTGCCAAACGCGTAGTTCTTAAATAACAGAATTTCTTTTTTCCCCTGGAAGTGTATAATTTAACTATCCACTGTGCATTCACTTAAGACGCAGAAGAAAAATACTTACTTAAACCGTATCTTCCTAAGGCTGATATTTAAATAATTTAAATAAATTTAAGACATTTATATATGATAAATCCTAAATAAATTGAAATACTTGTACTTTACAATTCATAGGTACTCCTTACTTTCATTCCTGTTGATTATCAAGTTGCTAGCTAAAAACATTTGGATAATTAACAAAAGATGAATAGTTATTCATGGAATGGCCCCTAATTGAATGTCTTCTCCTTTAAATATTATAAATAGAGGCCGGTCAAAATGGAAAATACTCAAATTTCTTACATAAAAAATCTAGCGTTTGAATCTTATGGATGGAGAAATTTTTTTACTGAAAGTGCTTTCTACATAAAAATTTGATACGGAACGAGCAATAGCCTGGTACTATACGCTGGGACACATGTAATCTAAATAAATTTTCAATTATAAATTTAATCAAATATGATTATCTAAAATTCAATTGAATTGCATATTTAAAGCTAAATATATCAAACAGAAAAAAATTTACTTAGAAACAATATTAAATTTTAAAATTGTGTTCCTCTCCTTTTCCATCTCTTCCCCCCTTGCCAAACATAGGTAATGTACCTACTGAAATTTTAATTTAGATTTATACTTCAAATTCAAAAGAAAAGGGACTGAATAAGAAATAAATGGATTAGGGTATAAAATTTGATCTTCAACGAGCTAGCAACGAGATATAATTTTTTTTTTTTTTTTGAAAGTATATAGTAATTATTAAAATAATAATTAAGTGGGGCCATTGGAGGATATTCTAAAAGCATCAATGACAGGTAGCAGTTAGATTAAGGGATCCAGACTATATAATATATATGCCAACCCTTAATTTACAAGTCAAATCCAATAAACCAAATCAATAATATATGCGGTTTCATAATTTCATTGGTTCGAGTTAGAGACGTCAATTATGGATTTCATGTCAACCCTAATCTACTCTTATCTTTATCCATACTTTTTGTATAGTCCTAAAACTAACATTATCTTGTAAATTTAAGCATAACATTTTAACTATTTTTTTACATGAGTAATCAAATTTTTACATATTTTCAGAATTTTATATCCTATAAAAAAATATGATTCTTTTCACTAAATACATAATTAAATAAAAAATAATAATGTTATTTAAAAATACTCTCCACTAGTTGAGTGACAAGGCATGTATAATTTTAATAAAATTTTTATAATAAAAACATTGACTAATATACGGGGACTAATTATAATAATTTGGTTCAACCCAAGACATAAATACAGACAAGAATAATATTTGTAAGTAAAAGAACTTTAAAAGATATTATGTACAAATAAATAAAAATAAAAGATCAATTTTTGAAATTTTATGTATATGTATAAACTTGTGACTAATGAGATGATAAAAAAAAAATGGCAAAATAAAATTAGACAAATATTCAGCTAAATGGAAAAATACCCACTTAACAATATTAAAGTAAAAGGAAAATGTTGGGGTTTGAATCTCCAATTGTATTGGATCATTTCTTTGTGGATTCCGGTACGAAACCCTTGTAGATGTGTTTCCGGGTATTCCTTTATCATTTCGTCCAAGCGAATGAGTTTCTCTAATTCTATGAATTTTTCTAGAATACTTACAATAAAAATCAAATAATTCAAATGATAACAACGTAGCATCTATATATGGTCAAAAGAAGAAAAGTCCAAACAAAAGCTACATCCAATAACCAAAGAGAAAGTTAGGAATATATATATATATACACACACATTTGATAAAGAAAGGGAAGAGGTTTTGAAGCCAAATCCAGAAGAATCTGGATGAGCGCCTACCTCCACCAAACGATCATGTTTGGTTCTTCAATATTGTTTTTAATGCAATTTGGTCTAATTCCAACGGAATGAAAGCCACACATCATCTACTTTCCCTCATCATTTGGAGACTGCAAATTCCAAACCATATGCTTCATTGCACTTTATAGTTTATGCTTAGAGTAGGTCTGTCCTTATCTTACAAAAAAAAAAAAAAAAAACTGGAGGAGTCGGCAAAAGTCCAATATCACCCCGCCACCCGAACCAATGACACTTCAGTTGCACTCTTATATAGTTTATGCCTAGAGTAAGGCTCCTGTCCTATCATGACAAAAAAAAAAAAAAAAAAAACAAAATCTTCTGTCTTTTTTTATTTTTGCTTCAAAACAAAGTCCTAATTGTTTCGTATTTCTTATTGCAAAGATTAAATGTACATTACTCATAATTGTTAAATTTAATAGTCGCTAATATAATATCTTCTCCTAAAAAAAAAAAAAAAAACAAATCTTTCTTTTTTATTTTGCTTCACAAATCCTTTTTTTTTTTCTTTTTTTGCAAAGATTAATGTAATTTCATAAATTTTAAATTTATATCCTAAATAATATCTTCTCCTTAAGTATATTGTGTTTAACTTATAATGACTTTTTGAATCAAGAAATACTAAGCTATTCATACAAATGAAAAACTTAAAATAATTTAATTTTTCTTCAACGTATAGCAAATAATCTCATAATCTAGTGATAAGAGGATGCCTTGGAATCTTTTGGTCCTGAATTTCATCTCTTCCTCATCATTTAATAATCAATTATTTTCTACTTTATATGAATTATCTTTAATGGGTTTCGTAATATGTTGATCGATGAATTCATGTTTGAAATATGCTAAAATTGACCAATAAAAAAAAAAAAAATTGGAAAGTTAACCATAACAGAAAAACAACAAAAAGGGAACATAATGGAAAGTTAACCATAACGAAAAACAACAAAAACGGAACATAGTAGGAAGGCAATGCAAAATAGACTAAATAGCTAGAATCAAATTATTTAAAAATGAAAATTGAAATATTATTAAAATAATTGCATTTCAAAGTTTATTTGCTTGGGAAAGCATAACCAAGAAAAATTAAAGGGGAAAAAGCTCAAGCTTCTATTGTAAGCATTCACATCATCATTAGAAGCAATCACAAGCAAAGTTATCGAATAATGATTATGCTAAACTTTTTTGAAATCAACGTAATTTTTTGAGGAAGAATTTAAAGATTTGTTGTGACTATTAGATTTAATTTTGTTCGTCGAATTAATTAAGCAATCTAATATAAAAGTCTTGTATTTTTATTTTTATTTTTATTTTTTTCCATTTGAACCATAAATTTTCTTGTTATTTTATTAGTGGTGGTCATGGTTAAAGCCTTAAAGGAGTCGGAAATTGTTAGTAAAATATTGCTTGAATTAGATTATTTCAATTTTCAAAACCTCTTTCCTTTAGTAAAATTTTCAGGCCCTATAATTAATTAGTTAAGAAGCTAGGCCCATTGATCTATAATTCATCTACGGAAGTTGGGCCTCAAGTTCCGAAAAACTTAGTGTTCTATCATTCACTCAAAATGACCGCGCCAATGGACTCTAAATTGGATCAATTGGGCTTAGAAATCTAAGCTTTGAGATGAGTCGCTTTCACTTGTAGTTAGACAATATAGGATGTAAGTTATGTCGATTAATTTTTTTTTTTTTTAAAAGAGGAATATTAGAGTTGAATTTCCAAAATTTTGTATTATAATACACTCAAAAAAAAAAAAAAAAAAGAAAAAATCATTTAATATATATTTTTTGATCTTTTCTTTTGAGTTTTTTTCCTTTGGTGAATAATATATATAAATTAAATTAGAAAAAAAAAAAAAAAAAGAAAAAACATTTTAATATATATTTTTTTGACTTTTCTTTTGGGTTTTTTTCCTTTGGTGAATAATATAATTAATTAAATTAGACATAAGTTATTGATGATTGGTAAAGTGTTTTACAACTTCATTTGCGTGAAGGCATGAAAAAAGGATTGGATAAATTTTTGAATGGGCTATGACCAAACCTCATAGAAAATGTGCATGTTGCATTAACAATTATGGGATAAATTTTATATATATATATATATATATATGTGTGTGTGTGTGTGTGTGGATACATTCCTTAGACTAAAAATTGACATATATGGAAAATTTGATTTGAACAAATTTTTTATTTTTTGAAAATGATGGAAGATATTTTTTAAAAAAATATTTATGTGCTTTTAGGCCAAAAGCATAACCACAAGAAGTCATAGTAAAAGGAAACTATATTAATATTATATGATTTTTTTTTTTTTACATGCATCTTTTGCTCCCCGACATTTCTTGGTAATACATACTAAGTTTTTTATATTTATATTTTCATATTCAGGCCGGGATGATATTCAGATAAAACCTTGTTCAACAATAGTATATATACAAATTATTTTATTTATTAATTATAAAAATAAATTTGTTAAACTCAATTAGAATATTTAGATTCTTAATTGGAATATTTAAATTACTCATATTTAAATAAACATATTGTAGTTGTTAAATTGCACTCCTAATTATATTATAGTGATAAATATATATAAGCTTAAACTTATATTTCTAATAAAAAATATAACATTTAAATAGGATAAAGATGGAAAATGATAAGAGTAAAGTTGCTTTCGATCTCTAATTTTCTATAGAGAAAAATCAATTAAAATAAAAAAAAAAAAGCAAACAAATTTTTAACATAAAAGTATAATTATATTTTTATCTAAAGTGCCATCGTTTAAGCATGTCCTCTAGTGGCAATTTCACAAGATAAAATATCCATCTTTAAATCCAAGCAAAATACTATTTATTGACTTACTAATAATGTTAATATAATAAATTATAACAATTTTGAGAAGATATGAAATTTTTAGCAGATTCTGATCGACAATACACAGAAAAAAATTTTCAGGACTAGTTAAAATTGGATTTTTTTTTTTTCTTTGTCAACATACGTATTTATGCACTATAATACGG